TCTTGAGCCAACGCAACATGCGCACTGCAACAGTACCAGAACTTGAAGAGTTGCTTGAAGATGAAGAGGTCCGCGCCTACCCCTACAGCAAGTCTTTTGCTGAGGCACGAACCGACCCATGCCTCGTCCTCCACACTACCGGCTCCACCGGTCTTCCAAAGCCTATTACCTGGAAGAACGAGATCCTCAGCACTTATGAGGCTTGGAGAACTATTCCAGCAGTCGACGGATATGTTCCAACAACTGAAGTCTACCAACAATCTCGTAGGGCTTACAACCTCATGCCTTTGTTCCACACTAGTGGTTTGAATATCGGTATCACCATGTCTCTCCTTCTCGGTGTCACCACTGTTTACGGTTCTGCCAATGTCATACCCCACGCTGCATATGCCGATGAGATCCACAAGCATAGTGGTGTTGACGCTTCAATCGGCCCCCCATCCATCTATGAGGAATTAAGCCACGACCCCAAATCCCTTGAGCGTATCCACAACTTCAACTACATTCTCGTCTGTGGTGCTGCCATCTCCCAGACTGCCGGTGATATCATCTCCAAGCATTGCAGAGTCGTTTCCAACTTTGGAGCTACTGAGACTGCTTGTCTTCCACGATTGGCTCCTGCCGTTGAGGATTGGGCTTACTTCTACTGGCACCCAACTCACTCTGGTATTGTCTTCAGAGAGTACATGGACGGTCTTCACGAGCTTTACATTGAGCGAAAGCCTGAATTAGATCTTTACTATCAGGGTATCTTCAGTACCTTCCCTCAACTCGAGGAATACTCCATGAATGATCTCTACTCTCGCCACCCTGATCCAGCGAAGCCTTTCTTGTACAAATGGAGAGGTCGTGCTGACGATGTTATCGTCCTCAGCAATGGTGAGAAACTTGCTCCAGCTCTCATGGAGGCTTCTCTCTGCAGCAGTCCATTCGTCAAGGGTGCCATGGTTGTTGGCCGTGGCAAGTTCCAGCCAGCTGCTCTTGTCGACCTCAAGGATGCTCCACCAGCCAGCGCTGCTGATCGCCACGCTCTCATCAAGGAGATGCTTCCAGCTATTGCCCAAGCTAATGTTCACGCTCCTGCTCACGGTCAGCTTGATCAATACCACATCTTGTTTGTTGATCCTAGCCGCCCAATGCACTACCTTGGTCAAGGTAAGATCCAAAGACATCAGACATACAGATTGTACGAGAAAGATATCGAGGATGTCTACACTGCTGCCGAGAATCTCGATGACCAAGAAGGTGAAGTCGGTGACTTGCGAGTGGATTTTGCCGACCGCACCAACATTGCTAAATGGCTAAAAGACCTCATCGAGGAGACTGCCGGCATTCAAAACCTTGGACCTGATTCAGCATTCTTTGAATCCGGCTTGGATTCTCTCCATGTCATCAAGATTGTTCGCGAGCTCAAGATCCATGCCAAGCTCACTGGTGGCAACAACCTCACTCCGGACTCCATTTCACCAGCTTCTGTATACTCCAACCCATCTTTGGTTGAGCTCTCAGAGTTTCTCTACAAGACAGCAGATTTGGCACCTGAAGATCCTGATAGTGCCTACCAAAGTGCCGATCCCAACGAGAAAGAAGTCAAGAATCCTAAATTGACTGCCATGGAGTCTCTCTTCCAAGAATTTGTCTCCACTCTCCCAGTCGAGTCTAAGCCTCGTGTCACACCAGTCACCACCGGTACTACCGTTCTCCTCACTGGTACTACCGGTTCATTGGGTTCATACCTCCTCAATGAGATGAACAATGACTCAAACGTCAAGCACATCTACGCTCTTGATCGCTCTGCTGGTGGTGCCGAGAAATACCAACAAGCCATCGCTGCAAGAGGGTTGAGCCCCATTGATTCCAAGAGAGTTACTTTCCTCAAGGCAGATCTCTCTGATTCTCAATTGGGTGTTGGACAAGAGAACTACACTAAGATCTTGGAGAATGTTACCCACGTCCTTCATTGTCAATGGCCAGTTAACTTCAACTGGACTCTCAATTCATTCAAGCCATACATCACTGGTGTTCGCAACCTCGCTCAAATGGCATCCAGCTCTACCAACAACGCCTTCGTGATGTTTATCTCATCCATCGCCGCCGTTGGTGGATACAAGGGAGTTGGTGGTGTTCCTGAGGCACCAATTCTCGACTTCACTGCCGCAGCACCTATGGGATACGGTCAATCCAAGCTTATCGCCGAGGCCCTCCTCGAAAAAGCCGCTCAAATCTCCGGTGTTCGCACTGCTGTCTGCCGTGTTGGTATTGTGGCCGGTCCAGTGGAGCAACAAAAGGGAATGTGGAACAAACACGAGTATATCCCATCTATCATTGTCTCATCCGCCCATCTCGGTGTTGTTCCAGAGACCTTCCCATCCAGAGATCACATCGATTGGCTCCCAGTCGACAAGCTCTCCAAGGTCTTGTGCGAGATTCTTGAGACCGCATCCCAGCCAGAACTTGACGCCGCTACAGGCGCTATCTCTTCTGCTCCTCTCCACAGCAAGACTTTCCACGTTGTCAACCCACAGTTCTCCTCCTGGGAAGAGGACTTGGGACAGAACCTCCTCGCTGCTTACCCCGAAGGCATGGTCAAGCCAGTCAAATTTGAGCAATGGGTCGACGCACTCAAAGCTTCCGTGGATGAAGCTGAGCGCACTGGCAAAGTCGATGTTGATGCCAACCCCGCCATGCGCCTTCTTGAGTTCTACTCCAAGGCAGCAGCTGGTGGTGCCGTTGAGAAGGGTGCTCGTACCTTACCTACCAACGTTTCTCAGTCTGCCAGTAAGACTTTGAGAAATCTCGGTCCTTTGAACAGAGTGTGGTTGGAGAACTGGATGGTTCAGTGGGGTATCAAAGAGCCTGTAGCAGTTCAAAATGCTTTCTTGGCTTTGAATTAGACATGGCTGTCATTTAACGAGTTTCCTTTGTCACTTTTCATTTCATGTATCTTTTCATGCATCTCTTTTAATTTATGAATGATAGACTTGGGTATTGGTATAGATAAGATATTGGGATAGATGGATCAGGAGTTTGGGATTTCATTCATGAATCACGATTATTGTTCATATTTAATCATCGATAAAACACAAACAAATTTTATAACATCACAATTACATCATTTGCCTCAATCAAAAGTGACTGAATGTAAGTTACCTGACGATCATTGCTTCAAATATTCAGGTGTCAAGATCAATTCAACTGATCATTCTAATTTCCTTATCCTTCCAATATCCTTCATCTTCTCCATCCATTTCTAATTTTGAGCGCTTTCCACTCCTTTGAGATGTGTCCTTAAGTTCTGTGGTGGCTTGTGATGGGTGGCTCAGCATAGCGGCTTAGTGGCTGGTGCAATCATATACACATGTGACCTTGAAAATCAATCTTGATCACGAACTCTACAATTCGTGCACATGATCGGCTTGGTTATACAATTGACATGCCGTGTCGGCTGAACCGCCCAAATTACTTCACCGTTGGTTCATCTACTCGGGTCCCATTACACAGCCTTTGCACTGATCCATATATAAACATGATCTGTCCCACTTATCACCAAGCATTTACAGCTTTGCTTGGCGATCTTAGTTTCCTTAGCAGCAACATCCTTATTGCTTGAATTTGGGGGCTAGAACTGCATCACATGACTTATCCTCAGCCTACCGCATAATTCTGAACTAGTCGTGAGAGGACCTGCGTGGAATACGATTGACAGTACATGAGAAATTTTGCTTGTCATCAACAAATGGTTGGATGGTTTCTGACTTTTGAAGCAAGTAAGGTTGTGATTGTTTTGCATTCCCTAGTTCTAACTCGGGGCATGCGCTTCGGGGCTGAGCGGGAAGGATGGAGAACAGCGGGTAGAGTGGAAGATCTGCAGGTAGTTGAAGAAGTGGGGACGGAAAGGGTTTCGGGAGAGCTCGGTAGTGAATAGTTTTCGGTGAAGTTATGTCATCCGAAGGGATGTTCCTCTCAGCCGAGATACCCCTGACATTAGCCGGAATGGAGCCCGTATCCGAACAGAATGTTCACGAGTAATGAGGGTTGAGAATTTGCACGAAAGTTAGTCAAAATCTTCATAGTCAAAGCTCATTATTTTGGAAGTTAGATATTAATACTAGAAATTAACGTGCAGTTAATCAAGCAAGTAGGTGAATTTGAAAGTCCATAATAATTTGAATGTTCGATGATGGTATGTACGGTAACATCATCAAACACCAACTTCAACCAACAGAATAAGATTGGCAATGATAAAAATTGATTCCTGCATGAATATATGCTGTTGGTTGGTTTCCACACGCTGTAAAATTTTACAAATGTGTCAAGGATTAGCAAACACTATCTAACAGTCATTTTTCTATTCGAAGCCTAATGATTGGTGGCAATGGTATCGAGTAGATCGTAAAGCAAAGTCATGACCAAAACCTGCGTTTACTCAGTATTAAGTCCGTAGTTTATCGCGATGCTATTAGGTCAATTTCCCGGTCTGTCTTGGCTAAACCTGCAGTGTCACCTTAATCTATGAAACTTGGTCACGATCTGCAAAGCATATGGAAAGTGTGTGAGTTACTATATGAAAACATGGTTACCACTATATATCTATGACTGTATAGTACATCTGCTTCCTCTGTACGGTAAATATGAAAGAAATCCGCCGCCCAAATATCACATCAAAAAGGAAAGAACCCAACGATGCTCAAGCTACCCCTCAGAATGAGGATGCGAGCAATTGTTGTACAGTGACATCCAGCTAACAAGGTCTGCACGCAAAGATCGATAGTGTTCGAGTACTCTGCGTGCTCTGGCGCGCGAAATATCTTGGAACTCAAGTGGTGCATCAAAATATTCCGTCGCAGTTGGCGGGAGGTCAAAAGAAAAGAAGAGATGAGTAATTCAGCCATGATGCTTCTAAAGAGGATCTATCGACAACATAATGAAGAGAAGTTGGATTAAAGCGAGGAATAATGGTTAGAGATGATTTTGGATGGTGGCGCTTTGAGGCGAATTGCTTAACAACCAATGATATCGCAAGCAATCTTCTCAGCGAAAGCATCTGAATGGCGTGTTAGTTATTGTTCAATTGCTAATGTTTATAGGAGGATAAGACTTACAGACTGTGGACATAGGATGTCCAGGAGGAAGATGTGGGAAAGCGGCAGCATCAACGACACGGACGCCAGAAACACCAAGAACTCTGGCTTGGGTATCAACAACAGTGTTGGTATTATTGACCAGACCCATGGCGCAGGTCGATGTTGCGTGCCAAATAGTGTTGAAACTAGTTCGGACAAAGTCTTCGATTTGAGCGTCGGTCGAGATGTTAGATCCAGGGAAGTACTCATCACCAATGACGAAGCTTTGAAGGGCATCGGTGGCGTAGAATTCACGGACACGTTTGACTGAAGCAACCATGATGTCGACGTCAGATTGCTCGGTCAAGAAACCCGGGTCAATCAAAGGAGCAACATTGGTGTCGGCGGAGGTGATGGTAAGAGATCCGCGGGATCGAGGAGCGACGAGAGCGATTGCTAATGTTGCATAGTTGAATCCATCATTTGGGTCAGTTCCCTCGATGACCTGGTTGCCTAGGAAAGAAGAGATGGCAATGTACTCAACCTCAGGCCAATCAGCGGGGTATTCAGCCAAAGCTTTTTGAGTCTCATTGCTCCATTGGCTTCTGTACTTTTCGGGAATCTTCTCCCATCCAAGAACATCAGTATCGGGGCTGGTGTACATGCCGGCAGCTGGGGTGCTCTCGTACATCTCAAGCTGCTCAGCAGCATACTCAGGATCGTTCACAAGTCTTGAAATGGTAGGAGCATTGACACGGTATCCGACACCAGTGAATAGATGATCTTGCATTCCTTTTCCAACACCTGGACGGTCAGCAATGACATCAATACCGATGGCACTCAATTCTTCTGCAGGTCCAACACCAGAAGCCATAAGAAGCTGTGGAGATCCGAAAACACCAGCAGACAAGATGACTTCCTTGTTGGCAGTCAAAGTAAATGGGTAGCCACCAGTCTCGACAAGAACACCAGTTGCCTTCTTGCTGTCGTCGAAGAGGATCTTCTTTGCCATGGACAGGGTGTAAACCTTGAGGTCAGGTGATTTCATACCAACCCTGAGGAAAGAGGTTTCGGAAGAATCACGTGTCATCTTTTCAGCATCAATGGTGAATGTAGGATATGAAGCTCCGATCAAGGTTCCACCCAAAAATCCAGGAATCACCGGTACGCCGATTTGAGAAAGACCTTCGATGGCCCAGGTTCCGAAAGCTTGGGCATAGTGGGACCAAGTGACTGAAAGTGGACCGGTAGCTGGGAATACTGCAGCATCAGCAGCAACGAACTCTGGAGTGGAGTTGGTAGATCGAAGGCTCATATCGGGAGCAGTGAAGTTAACAGACTTCTGATAGAAAGGAAGAAAGTTATCCCATTCATAGGAATCGTCGCCAACCTCGTCGGCCCATCTCTGCATTGATCCAACAGTTGCACGTTGATAGACCATGAAGTTTCTGGCAGAACAACCTCCCAAAGTTTTACCACGAGCATAGTGAAGAGAAGTGTTGAATGCTCCCTGTGAAGAATGTCAGTAAGGGATTTTTGGTTCAAATCTAATTCCTAGAACTTACAGATTGTGCGGTAGTCTGATAACCCCAATCGATCTGAGGTTGCCAATCAGTGGCACCTTTTCCAGCGAATACACCATCAGTGGCAGGAACTTGCGAGATGTTTCCATTGCTAATCTCATAGAAAGTTCCAGCTTCAATGACAGCAACGCTGCCAGCCTCGGCTTCAGCCAATCTCATGGCGATAGTTAAACCGGCATTGCCACCACCAACTACAACGTAGTCGTAAGTGGCATTGCGACCAGGAACACCAAAAGAGTTACCTAAGAGAGCTCTTGCTTTGAGGTGAGAAGTACCCAAGGTAGGTCCTGCTTGCGATTGAGACACCAAAGAGAGAGCTGCCAGCCCCACAGCTGTGAATTCTTTGCTAAACATTTCTGCTAGTAACGAGGATAGTATGCAAAGGTTGAAAGAAGGAAGTAATCTTCAAGTGAAGAGATGATGGCAATCGGAAGAGATTCTTCTGCAATGAATGAAGCTGAGGAAGGAAGAAGGTGATGAGGGTGATGAAGATTGAGCTTAACGTCGAGAATTTGAGCTGTTTATATAGACGTTCAAGTTGATGCTTAGACCACTTCTCAGACGCTTTTCGCCCTCGTTCCTATCACCCATGATGGTCACTATCGTATAGTCTCACTTCATAGCCCGTATCGGATCATATTCCATACCGTGAAGTCGAGGGTGTTGAAGAAAGAACCCTGGCTTGCCGTAATATCGCGTGCGGCGCAGAGACAGCGAGGTTAAGCTTTGTTCAGCTCGTTTCTGAGGTAGGATCAACGAATGTCGATATTTTGGGAACCGAACTGTTGGCGACTTCACGTTGTTGACATGTGGTAACCCTGCTTACATGCAATTAACGTGCAGCGGGAGCCTAGCCCCGCGTTAGCTCGTATCCTCGAACCATGATCAGCAGAGGAAGATAAGCTATAGAAGAGCTAGGGCTGCCAATACTGATGAATGTCTCAAGGCGATATCACGGCTTTGATCTCATCACATAAGCACCCGAGCTTTAATCCGGTCCGGGCAAAGACCGGCGACCGTGTACCTTCTATTCCACAGCAACTTGATATATGATCACTGCATCATTTTAAAGAGCTAGAGCAAACGGTCAGGTACCGTGATTGCAAACAGTCCCAGCAACTGCAAGCAGTCTTGTGAAGTGAATCCGAGTGTTTGGTCCCAAGCTCCTAAGCTTCTTGGCCCACTCAGCCTCACGTGAGCCTTTCTTCATGTTTAAGCTATAGATGCTGATGTTGTTGCCTGGTTCCCCGACACCATGCAGAACTCAGGGTCTACAAGGTTCTGAAAAACCACGAGATACACCGCATATATGGACTCGGGCCCGTTGCATATCTGCAAGACCCTGAAAAATTAGGCGGGATTACATCACACCCATACGCGCGGGAATATTAATAAGGTTCCCCCGCTGAAGAAACATGCCGTTTCATAAAATGAGCATTTAGTTGGATCCGTGCCTTAGGCACATTCTATACCTAGAAATAATACGTCTTTCAATCAACGCCTTATCATGAAATGAAACGTTGAGATTAAGGTGTTTAGATGGCAAGAACAATGACGATAAACCCTTCTGTTACGAAGGATTTGGAGCTTGCGCTGATAATCGTAAATGCCATGCTTACCAAGAAACATCGATTACAATGCCGAGTGAACCGGCTACTACCACACTCCGTACGGTAACATTGTGATGAAGCTCATCAAGGGTACTTTGCCATAATCCTATGTCGACGAAAACTGAAATAGAATTCCCACTGTTTTCGCTTTCGCAACGACGGAATGCAGAAGTAGCGAAAAGACATATGGACTCGGCAAATCTTGTTCTTTGGCAACGAAGGAAGCTTATTTAAATCTCTCGGCTTATTCATCCGATATAAGGAAGCCGGGCCATGTATTCGAGACATTATCTTGAGCAAAACTTGATTCGGCTCTTTGCCGTGGCTCGGAATCCACGGCTTCGGACCCGAGTAATTACAGTTTGAAGTTCCAGCCCGTAATTTTGTGGCCGTAATATATCCTCAGACCGCCTTTGATTGGTTCTATTGATGAAAGCCTTTCACGTGGCGAGGACCCGAGTGCAATTTGAATTGATGAGCACTCAATTACTTGCAGTAATTGTTGACATTGTCGTTTTGAGAGAGATTGTAGTATTAAATGACCTCGTAGCTAAAATTAGGTAGTGTGATGAAAGTACGTACACGCGAAGTGGGTTCATCAATCGATTATAACGTTCTAACCATGATAACAGTATTGTGGATTAGCTGTTCGAAGTTTATACGTCGTGATGAGACAGTTCCTTTTTGGAAATAAGATTATGTACTCCGCAGGCAGTTTTCAGTAGGTGGGGTGGAATGATGAAAGTAAGGGCTGATAATAATCAAGCGTTTTCCGGTGCTATTTACGATGCATTTTGACAGATCAACAGGGGTTTTAGTGCAGCCTTTATGGGGCTCATAGGCACGATAGGCTCTTCTCCGAAGCCCAAAACGCTATCTCCGCCTCAATCAGTTGTACCGGTACCTAAGTAGTCAAAGCTTGGTAACTCTTTTCAGACAAGTCGATTAGAAATTTGTAATGTATCATATGTATGATGTAGTATGGTATGATATCGACGGTAATTCCGATAGATGTCGATTGATCTATGAGCATTAGCATTCTGATAAATCATTGGTCAAGCCCTACCAAATCGTTTGACATCAAGTCTAAAAGCAGTACATCTTAGCTCGTTAGACGCTTCATTTCTAGACCTTTCTGGTATTGACACTAGGCATCATCCACGGAAAAATCGAATAGTGCAAAGCCGTAAAAGCCGTACTTTGTTTTGTGGCATTCTAGCCATCTATCTTCCCGGGTCCCTTCAGGTGGGGCTTGGTTGGGGTAGACCCCTTGGCACCCAAAACACATTAATTGTGCCGCCCGTGCACAAATAAAGAATACCAGAGATCTGCTCGCACTTCTGACACCGCAAATCATACAAACTCCATATTCTGTACATACAGAATTGGTATCCTCTATGCTCATATCTTGAGACTTTCGACTTTCCTAAAATTGACCTTAGGAGGTACTAATTGACCATTGATCACGAGCAACAGCCTTCTGCTAGGTTTCGTAGCAATCTGCTATCAAATCTCAGTTGCTGCTGTGCCGCATATACATCCGTCTAGCCAACATCATCTCTCCGTCTCTCTACTTGATACCCATCACATTACTCCCAAAATGTTCACCACTTTCGTGAGCATGCCTTCTACTACGCCTAGTACTTCTGCATCCCCAGAACCTCCACCACGGCCCCGTCCACGTCAAAAACGAAGTCAAGTGGCCAAAGCGTGCGACTGGTGTCGAGTCCATCGGATCAAATGCGATAATGACCATCCGTGTAACAACTGCAAAACTCGCGGCGGCAACTGCAGCAATAGCGGTGCTATGAAGTTGGCAACACTTCCACATGCATATCGTGAGATTGAACGCCTTAAGCAAAAAGTGCAAGAACTTGAGAAACAACTCGATAAAGAGCGCTCAAGCGATAGCAAACAAAACATGCAAATGCTTCCTCCACATGGACTTCCTTCACCGCCGAATAGTATTGGAAGTTCCCGATCGGGACATGACACTGGATTAAGCGGTATGAGTGGCTTGGGTGGTATGAGCGGCCTTGAATTTGACGCAAACTCAATCAAGAGAGAATGGGAAGGCATTCACATTAGCACCGCGCGTTCCCCACAAAAGACGTGGTATGGCTCAGCATCACTGTACTATTTCATCGGGCGCCTCAATACTTTCTTGACCGCTTCACTACACCAAAAACATTCTGCCCATGCCATGTTACCGAACTCGGCGAGTAAAGTACTCGATGGGCCGACTACAGCAGATACATCAGACAACAAAAATGGGATGATGGTCCCGATAGAAGACCCCCTCAATGTTGGTGATTATCTTTCACCAACACAAGAAGAGTACTTTCTTGGGCTCTTTTGGCAATCATACTATACCTCAAATCCCATCATCGACGAACAAGAATTCAAAGAACATTATCAGTCGTTATGGATGAATTCTGACAAAGAGAGAAAACCTTCCGCGCTTGTCGATATTATCCTCGCAATGTGTATGCAGTATGGCATGTCTTTTCTGCCCAATGTAACACGCACACATAATCCCGGCTCGAGAGCTAACGTAAATGTCAATGATGCAACAATTGCTGGCAGATGGCATTACCGACGTTGTCAATCTCTACTGGCAGCCGATCTTGAAGCACCAACAATAGCTACTCTCCAATGTCATATACTCTGTTCCATATACCTCTGCTGTGGATCATTTCAAAATATGGCAGACAGCGCTTGCAGTGCTGCTGTACGGACAGCTTATATGCTTGGTCTACATGTCGAGCCTCCCCAAGAAATGCCAAGAAAGGAAAGAGAACTGCGGAAACGCATGTGGTGGACACTCTACGTTTTGGAGAGTAAAATGAGTATGAAACTCGGTCGTCCGTTTTTGGTTCATGAGTGTAACACTACATGCACCCTTCCTACAGACGACCGCGATGTTGCCATTGCTGCAGGACAAAGCTTTGCACCTCTGGGTGATAATGTTACCTGGTTGACTTGGAATCTTCACAATACGAAACTGTTGCTTGTTGCTCGATCGGCCTACTCTGCTTTCTACGATACCCCGGTCCCTAATACAGTCAACGTAAGAGGAACCATTTGGGATGACTTGCAAACTCTTGGAACTTATGCAGATATGCTGGAACCACACTTAGAGCGAATGGACGAATGGCTCAGGGGTGTACCCATGGCACTCAAGACCGATCGTCTCAATGGCGGGTCTCCGTTCTCCACAGACCTATCACATGTTAATATCGAGCCATTCGCACCACTGTGGCTTCAACGACAACGACTCCTCCTAGAACTTATGTACCACAATCTCAGTACCAACCTCTGCCGGCCGTTTATCGTCTTCAATCCAGCAAGCACACCCACTGCTCTCTCAGAACAAATCGCACTCAAATGTGTCGGCCATGCTATGCAGTTGACGCACATCATGCATCATGTAATCTTGTCGACATCGATTCTAGCAGGTTGGCAGGAATCCTTCCAATGGCAGTGGAACTGTGCAATGACTCTCGTCGGTTATATCTTCGCATATCCTCAAGGCACACAGACTCGAGCAGCAAGAGGTGCTCTCGACCTCGCCATCGCTGTCTTCGATAACTTTGGTAACAATTTCGCTCAAGCTGCCAGCGCTGCTAATGTCATGACTGAACTCAGTGCTAAAGTCGATATCCGTCTTGCACAAACTTATGAGAAGCAAATGATGGCGCAACAGTCGAAAGTCATGATCAAGCCCGATGAAGTACAATCTGTCATGAGTGCAGGAGACTCGGGATATGAGAGTCTTCTCGATGATAGCTTCACTGGAATGCAAGGTGTGGATTCGTTGTCTTTCGATAATGAGACCAATGCAGAAATTCAAGATATCTTGGCTCAATCCATTGATATGACATTTCCAGCAGATTCATATACAGACTTCGAGATGTTATGGGCGAATATGGGGACGATATTTCCGGAATAGTAATGATAATGATGATGAACAAGAGGCATGGGTTTCAGGCGTACTTTTCTTTATGTTTCTTTCCATTCTATTACTATAGTTTTCTCGGGTTGACAATGGTATGGCAATATGCACATCATGGTAAACGCATATGGGTGGTGGCTGTATTGGGAAACAATATTGTGGAGTAGCGAGATTATCCTTCGGTAGTTACTCTTGTACCAGCAATAATTATTCGTATAGAATTAATGCTTTAACCACTTGGATATCATCTATTTACTCATTGTAACATACAGCTGAATTATGACAAAGAAATTACTCCATGGCCTTCTTCAATCATAAAGCTAGAGCCAATCATGGAGAACTTTCGTTTTCGTAGCTCGCAAGCACAGCGATTTATAGATACGCATGATCGACTTTGGGTGCTAAGCCAGCAATGTTCGATTCTTGGCTTGAGGCCGGGAAGGTTGCCGAAAAGCCTTCGGCGCATGAGCATGTAGTCTGATTGGCTCATGTCAAGAGACGAAAATCGTGGGGTAGCATAATTGATTATTTTATAATTTAACTCCGAGACTCCAGAGATGTAGTTACAGATTAACTTTGCATTATCCAAACGTTGGTGGATAACAACCAATGATCGGTTATATTATCTTATCGTCCAACAGTTGGTCACCAACATTGCTTACATGGTTCAGCCCTAATGGGGTATCCGGAGATTATACCCTAGTAAATTTTGTTTCGCGTTCAGTCATAAGCCTAAAGAACATGGGTCCCACTCGGACATAAAGCATTGAATGCCCATTATTTGTCTTCCGGATTCTCCTTCAAGATCAGGTAATCATCAGGGACCTCCGTCGGATGTGAATCGGTAAGTTTGATTACGAACAATCCCGTGAGTACATGCGCTTGTACACTTCACCGATAATCATTGTCACTAATCAATACCAACGCATGGAACGATGGGCCGGACGGTGCCTGGACCCAAACATGGAGGAGCGGCCCTGAGTTCAAAGATTATATAATGTGAGTTAAAAGCCATAGTAAATACATTTTATTCCATATCAAATCAACTTCCTCTTCTACTCTTCCCTCCAGCTTCTCAAGCCATTCAAAAACATCTATAACTTCACTTGAAATTCCAACTTTTCAAATCCACCCTCAAATCATCTACTTCTTCCTAAACTACACTCAACATGCCTACCTTCACAGTTTTCAAGGGCAGAGCAGATGGCACCCCCATCAAGAGCACCACCACTAAGCCAGAAGAGCTCAAAGGTGACAGCGTCTTGGTAAAGATTACCGCTTCCGGTGTTTGCGGAACAGATCTTCACTACGTTAGTCCATACTCCATCGCCACCCTTTGTGATTTGTTCTATAGCTAACCCCCCATCTAGAAAGGTGCCGACATGGTCCTTGGCCACGAAGGTGTTGGCATTGTTGAATCTGTTGGCCCTGATGCCAAATATCTCAAGAAAGGAGACCGTGTAGGATGGGGTTACGAGCACGATTCTTGTGGCCACTGCAACGAATGTCTTACTGGAAACGAGGTTTTCTGTCCAGAACGTGCTCTTTACGGATATGCCAATCTTGATCAAGGATCATTTGCTTCCCACGCTATCTGGCGTGAGGCCTTCCTTTTCCCCACACCAGCCTCCATCCCTGATGAATTTGCCGCTCCCTTACAATGTGGAGGTGCTACCACATTCTCTGCCCTCCAGGGTATCAAGAGCACTGATGTCGTTGCCGTTATGGGAGTTGGTGGATTGGGACATTTGGCTATTCAATTTGCTGCCAAGATGGGTTGCAGAGTTGTTGTATTGAGTAGCTCGGACAAGAAGAAGGATGAAGCCACCAAGCTCGGTGCACACGAGTTTATCGCTACCAAAGATGTCAAGGAACTCAAGGTTTCTAGACCCATCAACCGTCTCCTCGTTACCACTGCCGCTCAACCAAACTGGGAATTGATCCTCCCAATCATGGCACCCCGCTCTACCATCTACCCCTTGACAGTTTCTTTCCAGAACCTCGAGATCCCATACATGCCATTCCTTGTCGCTGGTATCAACATTCAAGGAAACCTTGTTGCGAACAGAAGTGCACACAAGCAAATGTTGGACTTCGCTGCATTCCATGATATTAAACCCATCGTTCAAACTTTCCCTATGACGGAGTCGGGTATCACAGAGGCAATGGATAAATTGGACAAAGGACAAGTTTACTATAGGGCTGTTCTCTTGGCGCAGTAAGTGGAGCGCTTTGACTTTTCTTACTGTTGATAGAGGATTGGATGAATGACTTGGATGAGAAATTGAAATGTACAAAAGCAAGAAAGATAGAAATACAAGATGATCCTACCTTATATGGTCTTCTAGCTCAGATACTTGTGAATTTGCGACTAACCTTACTCTTCTCTCTCCATAGAATCATCGAGAAAGTCCTGCCTGGTGCCTCTCGGTCATCAACATCTTCATCCACTACCCTCCGCAGTCGATTCACTTACAAGACTTGGTTACATTCCATTCTTTCCTCTTGCTCACCCAAAAGTAAGAAGGCGAAGAAGAGTGTTGAGAAGAGATGAGCTCGCTTAGAACTCTTTTTTCTTTCCTTTTTTTTTTCCAGGTGAAGATAGTTATTGGGACGTGGAAGAAGTACTGCTTGTGATAGATACACTTAATACCCCTGGTTGGATGTTTTGCTTTGTAGTAGGTAGATAATTAGGACACAATAGAAACGTTTTCTTGCATTTTGAGTGCTATTTGTTTCTTGACACTGTTTTCATCAAACCAGAAGAGTCTATGATCTCAATGTGAAGTGATGGGCTGATTTTTATATCGGTATAGTCTTATCACGTCTGGCTGTGAGGATTCAATCAGCACACTTATCAAGTAACCTAGGAGCAAACATATCTTGCACTCTGGAGATGAGATTACTCCATCATGGTTTAAGTCGGGACCCTACCCAAAACAACCCTTCTCCGTTGTGATTAGTTGCTGCCTATGAATAGCGTTAGTTATTTCCATTAAAGTTATTCATGTTCCAGGTCTCGTCATTTAGCTGGATGTCTCTGATATACTGACTGAAGTTTTTTTTTACCCATAACCAAACTTCATTGCCGTCGCAGACCTCGCTCCATATTCCTGATCGACGAGCAGTCCGTCCCAAAGTCTTAAGACAATCATTCAAAACAAAACTATCTGATTCACAAGGTGAACTCTTGCCTCCGGGGATACCGTCCATTTAGCTTGAGAAATTCCACGATACATTAATCCGCCGGCGCTTCTTCCGCGTAAACCAATTATCTTTCACTTGAGTGTTATATATGGTTGTGTCGTCCAGCCCAACTCCAAGTACTACCGATCTCATCAGTGGAGTCGAAGATAAGACCAATAAAAGTGAACTTCTCCTTCAAGATTCGAAACTGCGCAATCGGGCACTAGACGTGCATTGTAACGAAAGTAAAAGTTCTTATTCAAATTTGGAGTTACCATCTAGTTAGTGAGCCATGAAAAAGAGAAGCGTGATCTTATGATACCAGCATCCAAAATAATACTAATTCTCTGATATTCATGTGCGAAAGCTTTGACGAAAGATCTTGATATCACCGCAGGCGTTGGAGTATATGCGGGTAGTAGTCGACAGAAAAGCTGTTTAGTCACTAATTCAAGAAGACCATAAACATAATTAAGGCTGTCCGTAGCCGGGAATTGACGCCCGAAGCTTTTTTAATTCTTATATTCGCAACACATCCGATGTGTCAGTTACGCAAAACTGAACATATGTTTTTATGAGCTCCATTACTTGAACTCTCATGCCAATAGTTTTATCACCCATTATCTTGCGATGATCGACCTTTGTTGCAACATTCATTCTATCTAACCAGTCCTGCCACTGGATGAATTTATTTCCAAAAGTAACAGTCCTCATATAACTCATTCTCACGTTCCGCATAATTCATCACTTTTCCCAAAATAAATATTACATAATGGCATCAAATCCTGTTGAATTTTCTCCCCCGAATAAACCAGGGGTTCTCGCGAGTCGGGAATATCTCTTTGAATTTGCTTGAAGTTTTCAGAAACCTTCGCTAGAGTCTTCAGAAGAACTAGATTCTTCTCTCCTTGGCCGATCTTTCTTCTAAAGTTTGCAGGCAGGTCCCGAAATTAAACTTCCCGATCCGGTGAAAGCCATGCAACAACTTTCCAAGCTTTTTTGTACATCTCAGACATGATGGTAACTTGCTCTCCACGCTTCAACGAGTCTTGCGTTCTTGCAAAATCCGTGGACCCTAAGCCTGTAGTCGTCTGTCAACATAAGTTGCTTCTAAAATGGCAAGAGGGCGTTCTAAAAGATGGACGTAACGGGCATCTTATAATCACCGAACTTAAGAGTCTCGGCTGGTAGAGCATCACTCCAACAACATGACGGAACGATATAGTCACCCCATACAAATCTTTAGACTGATATGACAAGAGTCAAGCTATTGATACTGTCATACTGACAGTTCAAGCCTAAGTAGAATGACTCACCTATGTTCCTTAATGGCTACAGATACAATCAACAAAAAGTGATTTTTACGACCATGTCAAACTATACAGACAATTCCTATATAATTTTTTATTTCAAATACTCCGATTCTAATCTCAAGTCTCTTCAAATCTGTCGTGCTGGCTGATCCCCCGAACATAGTTCATTGAACTCACCACAGCGCTAAAGAAAAGAATTGTTTCAAAAATATTCATTTATACAGACTCCACTAGACTAAAATATAAGTCTAGGACGTAATAGCATAACTAAAAACGTGGAGATGAACTCTCAAGAACGTCACATACAGAATAGTATCTTCTGAGGCGCGTTAATAGAGCGCAGAATCCATCGTATATTTGTCCATGTTCTCAATAAGAGCTTCTTCTATCTACTAACAGCTGCAGCAACTCGAATTTTGAGTTTGAGGGTATCATCGCATGTAAAATTCTTTTGCATTTCTTCTATCCTTCCGTCTAGAAGCTCGTACAACTCCCATTTGCCACGAAACTTTTCTAACATGAATCTTCCATACTTTTTTTTCATTGTCCCACTCATAGGCTCTTCCTTTACTGACCTCCCATCGATCTTGTAGATTTAAATACCTATCAGCAAATTCTGTTTCTGATGATGTCTCGATGATGATGACCAACATCCCTACCGGTGAAAATTTATTGAACATACTACATAGAAATTGAGGGTGATGCACCTCCAATGCAGACTCCGTTACAGCGAAATTCTTAACGAACGTTCTTCGCAAGGAGTTCTGTCTGAGAGACTTTGCTCGCGAAGTATTTTAAAAGGCTCGTTCAAAAATGTAACCTCTCCATCAGGTGGAATGTATAGTATATAACGTCCCGGGTTGAAAGGACATAAAAATATGGGATATCCTTCAATTTCCTGAACAACAAAACCGTTTGTATGAGCCCATTTCACAGCAATTTCGCGAGCCTCGTGTTAAACCGATGCTAAGGGCGTCTCTATTTGTACATTACCTAACATATTGTGGCGGAACTCTAGACGTATGTTCTTCGTGCCATCCACCGGGTCATACTGACCATGTGGGTCGTATTTCGTAAGATGAAGAAGGTGCCAACATCCGCGTTTGTACCGGAAGAAAGCTGGTTTGATAGCATCTGGCAATGTATCACGCCATATTTTACTCCGCAGCTCTTCAGCAAGATTCATGAATAGAGGGAAGTCAGTAACGGCAAATCTTGATGCGCCCGCCATGGTCTTCTAAAGGTAAAGTCAGCGTATGTTCTAAATTCACGACTCAGCATGAAATATAGCGTGTAGACTCACGGATCAGGAACCGAAGAGATTATTCTGACACGTGAGGAACGAGAGAAACGTACAACTCGCTTGCCCAATTCTCAACCTGATATCAAGGTTATTTGCAGTACCAATCGCAAAGATAAATGAGGCTCGGTTTTGTGAGTGCAGACCGGGTAGTTTGATATTGAATGACAATTGGTAGCCGTCGTTTGTCTTAATTGCTGGTATGAATGTAACGAAAAGCTCCAGAAGATACTCTAAAGACTAAGTTATGACCTATTAGAATAAACAAATATGGGACTCGGAGGCAAGCCTTTCCGAGTAAATATTGGGGGCTAGCACTTGCCGCAGTCCTCTCGCTCTGCAATATACACGACTTTAGTTCCTGCCTGTTAAGTTCGTGAGGAAGCTACGATACTCCTTTGATTAAGATGACCATTTAGTTAAGAATCATACCACTTTATAGACCAGAGTATCAAAAGGATTTTTTTATCGCACAAGAAGATCCTCCTCCAAGTAGCTAGTGGATGAGCCAGAGAGACTACATGAATTCTTTGCAATAAGACTACTGGTAGGTATCAAGAAGAGAAGGACTTCTGAAGTAAAAAGTCGGAAGAATTTCTAATTGACCAGTCCAGTGGTGAGTACAAGTCTTCATTCAAGACCCATGGGAGAATTCTCGCCGTGAAGTGCATCGATGAATCGGCACCACAGAACTTGCTACTTTGTCAACGAGGAATGACAGCTTTTTGTTAATGTAGTCACATTGAGAATATCAAGCGGTCAATTTGTTGACTTTTTGTGAGTGATGTCCTAACGCTATCTAAGAAGTTGATATCGGAGTATTTGAGGAAGCCTTCGCTGAGATCATGATAATACATTGTGTATGAGAACGAAGGGGCTGCCATACGTTTCATTCGTTGTGCGTAGTTCTTCTTTGGAGGTTTCAGCTCTGCCTTCATGAGATCAGTTATTTGGTGCTTTGAATCCCATCAAATTTCTTTAAAGAGAAACAATTACAGCACTTCTATGGAGAGCCAAGCATAAGAGAGAAGCATATTGAAACAGATAGCAACATTTTTTTAGTAGAAAATGAAGGATCAAAGTAATCATAATAATTTCATTCGTCAACTGCACCTTGCAGTGATGTTCATTAAGCAACAAGATATTAACCGTCGTTCCTTTCCATTAAACAAGAGACCAAACGCCATTCTCAACCTTAATTTCCACCTCTCTATTCTCATCCAAAGCTCTTCTTCCAGCTTCCAAGATAGCGGTTGTGCCGACAGTATTGCCCAAAGTCGGTAATCCTCTATCATCCAAGACCTTGACCGCAGAAACACCATCTCTATTGACTAATCTGCATCCATCGACAAACTTCTCGAAACTGACATATCCGTATCCTGTCTGTCCAGCAAAGTTGCCCTCTTCATCTGGTGCGTAACGCATGTAGAACGGGTTATACCACATCAATTGACCGATTTTGTCATCTGCGACATCGTATCCTCTCTTGGCTTGATCAATGCGGATTTCTCCTCCACTGGCCATATAGTGGAAATATTGATTTGAGTGAACACCAGCCTTTTGTGGTGCAGTCCAGGATGCAGTATATACACCAGTGGCCCTCTTGTTTGGGTCATCCTTCTTGACCCAGTGCACAAGTAAAGAAATAGTATCCTCTGTAATTGGATCACAGCCCAGTCCAACAGCTGTTCCCTTACTAGCACTAGCTGAGACCTTGACTGGCAAAAATCCCTGCTGTGAAACCATCGACTCGCAAATATCGATGTGATGCGAATTCAGGTAATAACTAATATCTGAATCCACACCAGCCCAAGCCTTGAAGGTCTCCAATTGTGATTTAGGTTGACTCATATAACTGTAAAAGTAATTGAAATCACCCAATCCCAAGCTCTTGTGTCTAGCATCGGAGTATGCGGGATCAAATCGTTTGTGGTGCTCGATGTAGACGAAGACACCATTCTTTCTGGCAGCTTCGAGAAGCTCGAGATGCTGAGAAAGAATTTTGACTGCGGGCTTGGTGATTAAGACGTGAATTTTACGTTCGATAGCGTAGAGGGCAATGGGGTAGTGGGTTGTGTCGGGAGTGAAGATTGTAATGGCATCACCTGGGGAAAGCGCATCGATAGCAGTTTTGTAGGCTGCTGGATCTGTTTTGTCATTTGCTGGGAAGGAATCGAAGGATGTGTCGAGATTGTTGTAAACTTGGGAAATGTTCTTGTGAAGATGTTCGCCTGGTCAATTCTGTTAGTGAGTGATGCAGGAAGTGCGGTACACAATTAGACGGAGGCAGGAGACAAACGGATAGCTGGGAATTTTCCTCCAGATGTGCCAACCATAGACAATTTATCAACCTTTCCACGTCTTCGCAGATCAAATAATGAGAGCCCTACAACTCCAACTTTCTTGTCTGATCCTGAAGCTCCACCTCCTACGAAACCGGTGGTATATTCACCAGTTCCCACCATGAGGACATTGAGGGGTTTCAAATCTGAAGCCATGATGATAGTGTTAAGATTCCCGTTTGTGTGAATTGTATTTGAAATTTCTGAAAAGAGGAAGAACAAGTAGAGATTTACCCAAAGTCAATTGAGATGCAAGTGAATGGAGAGCTTAAGATAGTGGGGGATGATGTCGACTTCATAATGAAAGTGGTGGTACAATTACCCTTAGCTTCCAAGCATTAATTTGTTTAACCAAGAAGGAAAGAATCACTGTGGAACAAATTGTTGGATCACGAGATTTGGCGGAGAATTTGAGGGGTCAATATCGGAGTTGCTCGCTGCTTAATTATCCGGGGCTAAAAAGCGAGAAAAAATTGCGGGATGAAGGGGTTGGTTCGGATATCTAGAAAGATCCTTGATGAGACTCTACGTGGAAGGAAAGTCGACACTTTCTTAGAGTGCAACTCTTCTACAGTCTTGGATTTTATCGTAATGAAGCATTTCTGCATTATTGTGTTACATTTCAGGAACAACTACCACGATCTCTCAATTCCTCGAGTTGAGGGCTTTCATACCCATTAGGATCATCATCGTACAACCATTCTCCAATCATTCAAGACTTTTACCCCGCGATCTTGATTTCATAGGTACAGCATCTTGTGCTCCCATTCCTATTTGTAAACGTCTGCTGCATCTTTTCTCTTAGTCTTGAAATTAGACGGTTCATATTGCTGATTGAGCCTCAACGTCTAGCTAGATTGTATGTCACCTTAAGACAACCCACAAGAACTTTTTGATCATGAGGTTTTTCCCCATTCTATACCCAGAAACATCTTCTCCCACTCCCCAAGTTTGCCCCGCATCCCCTTTTAGCAGCCTGAACTAATTGCAAATTGGCCACATTTCTACCCCACGCCCTTGGCATCATCAGGAAGTTCATTGGTGGAAAAATAGTTTCCAGCATCAACGACACTCAGAATGTTGAATTGACAATTTTAGTCCACATGTTTCGAACAACGCTCATTCACTACCATCAATTGGAACACTTCTGAATGGCTCAGACGGCATTGATCATATCATATTGATTGTCATTTTAACATGCATAAATCTATTACAGTAAACCGTTAGTCATGGGATGTGCCGTGCATCATCGTCTAGACAGCCAGGAAACGATCAACAAGAAGATTATGTACAAAGATACATACATGGCAACTGGGAAGACGACCAGATGCCAGTTCGAGAACATTGCTATGTACACCCTGAAGCAGAAATCTTTCAAAGTCAAGTCATGAATCCCTTCTACTTCAACCCGCTTTTTCTTAAACCTCTTGCCAATTAACGTTATCATTGCATGATTGACACGCAAATCGGAAGAATCTTAGACGGGGAAGTTAGAATGTCCCCCCACTACTTCCACAAATTTAGATCATAAATTGAGAAACTACCAGGGAAGTCCGGCACACTATGCCAGGCTCGAGCTCCATGGACCTCCTAGATTCGGCATGTTGATGGAAAACAACTCAATCTTATTTTTAATACTATTCACAAAAAGATAGGTCACCGGTCCTCGGACTAATTTAGTATAGATTTTTGTCAAGTCATTCAGAGGATTGCTCATCATTTTTTGCTGCTAGCATATACATAAGATACTCTTTCCTACTTCAGTCTCTCGTTCTATTCTTCTTTTTTTCTCCATACTACCTCATATATACCCTCTTGAAGATACATTTTTTCTCTTCTATATTTGAATTTTCAATACCTCGCGTCCCATTCTAAACCCCCACTTTATCTTCATCTACACATTTAAAAAATCATAACAATGGCGGCAACCAACGGCTCCAACGGTCACGCTACACGTAGACCTCTCAGAGATGGAATTTACGCTCCAACTATGACCTTTTTTGTCCCTGAGACTGAAGAACTCGATATTCCCACAATCAAGAAACATGCCGTTCGTCTCGCCGAAGCCGGTCTCGTGGGTCTTGTAACCATGGGATCCAACGGTGAGGCTGTCCATCTCACCCGCGCCGAAAAACAATCCGTCACACGTGCCACTCGTGAAGCTCTCGATGCCGCGGGCTTTGATCAAGTTCCCATCATTGTCGGAGCTACCGAAGGGTCCGTTCGCGGTACCATCGAGCTCATCAAAGAATCAGAAGCAGCGGGTGGAGAATACGTTCTGTTATTACCCCCCTCGTATTTCCGTGGTCTTATGGATGAAGATTCTGTCTACAACTATTTCATTCAAGTAGCTGATGCATCACCTTTACCTATCATCCTATACAATTACCCAGGTGCCGTTGCCGGTATTGATATGGATTCCGATCTCTTGATCCGTCTCGCCAAACACCGCAACATTATCGGTACCAAATTCACCTGTGGTAGCACAGGAAAACTTACCAGAGTTGCCTTGGCTACCAATGCCAAGACCGTCTTCTCGGAAGGTTCTGGCTACATGGCTTTCGGTGGTATTTGTGACTTCACTGCTCAAACCTTGGTTTCCGGTGGTTCGGGTATCATTGCCGGTGGTGCAAATGTTATGCCAAAGGTTTGCGTTAAGATTTGGGAATTGTACAGAGAGGGAAAGAGAGACGAGGCTTTTGAGTTGCAAAAGATTTTGAGTAAGGGTGATTGGGTCCTTACTAAGGCCGCCATTGCTGGCACCAAGAGTGCTATTCAAAGCTACTATGGATATGGTGGATACCCAAGATCGCCTTTGAAGAAATTGGATGAGGTTAAGACTAGTGCTATTAAGGATGGAATTGATGAGGTTATGAAGGTCGAGTTCAGCTTATAGATGAACTTTGACGGCAATTGTGGTTGGTTCAACTGGAAGATGAGAATTTTGGATGAAATCATAGTTTTATGTTTGGACAATCGGCTGAGAACTAATACTCGCCAGTATATAATGTGTATGCACAATGCATACTTGGCCATCGCCACATATGATGGGATGAACTTTAGATGAGAATTCAGGAGTTTTTGATCTTTCATTTGACTGTCTTTTCGCCTTTGTATCATGTTCTAGAATTTCTTGTCTTGTTGTCGTTTATACATGTTATGCCACCTATGTCTACTTTTTGTTGTCCACGATCTCATTTTCTCTTTAGGTATTCGCCATCCTCTCTCAAGATCTTGACTCCATTTCAAAATTAAGTTGCTATTCTATATCATGAGTCAGAATATGCTCTTTGCACAATCTTTCATCCCCTGTACCATATAAGTTCCATGTTATCTCGCTCTATATATTATTGTAACCATTCTTTTCAGAGTACTTATAACAACTTACTTTTTCCAATTCCTCAAACATTATTTCAACTAATATTGCGTCATCTTTGCAACCACACACGAAGCAAAGTTTCAACGGCTTTTATGTCTCCACCTTTTCAATTCAAGGGCTTTGGGCTCTTTAATCCACTTGTTGCCCCTCTTTACATGTTCAACTTTCTTGTGGTTCAGATTGTTGAGTTTATCTTGAGTCCGCTTGTTGAGAGTCTCCCGAATTTCCTTTTCATATACCAATTTTCTGCTATGATATCGAAATTGGCCTTGGTTGCTCAATGCATAAGTCTAGCTATTGCCGAAAGTCTATGGAAATATGCATTATGTCGTATGTACTGTTTAAGCGTTGTGAAATATCACACTAGTAGAGATAAACAGCTAGTTTTTATTATTTCAACCAACCTGTGGTCTTTGAAGTTGTGCGCTGAGAATTAGAAGTAGAGTTGAGTGAATATATACTATTGAAGGTGGGATTGATCAGGACAACCGAAAACAAGCCAGAACACTGGTATATATAAGACTTGGATAGACTCTCGATGAGCAGACGAGGAATCCACGGGATAGTAAATGTGGAGGAGTTGAGAGCAAGTGATTACCATATCTTCTAACAAGTGTGATGATCCTATGGAGGTAGGGATTGTAGAGTTATGGTCGTAGAAAATGCGGCGTTTACTGTGCCGGGACGGGAGAGCACTCGTCGTCACAGCAAAAAAACATAGTATGGCAGTAATAATCTTTACATGGTGAATATCTATATGTTGAACTGTCATTAATCGGTAGTATTGACACTGGAAAAGAGCTGGCTATTCCATTGAGGCACATATACCTTTGGCTTGATTAAAGCTAAAGTTTAATCCTGATTTTCGGAGCGTGTTCTCTCCAGAAACTCCCGCTCCATGTACTTGTCGAGGTCGCTACTTACACAATCTCTATTCTTGATAGATTATGCTAGAACACCCTTTTATAGGTGTCGAGTCTAAAAGAACTCGGTGACTAGCAGGTCGAAAGCCTACCACGTGAAGGTAAAAGAATCCTCAGGGAGAAGATGAGTTTATTGAGGTCGTCCTATCCAACTCTGTGTCTCGATTGTAGATAACCACCCGACAAAGAACTCCAAACAGAACTTTAAGAGGCTCACGCCGGTAAGTCAATGGGAGTTAGGAGTGGTTTGGATCCTTGAATGAATTATTGATAATAGAGAGGCTTGAGCCCGTTCCATCTTGGTAGTGAGGGACATGAGAAAACCACTTTGGTATCAACATATTGCTGGAAGATTGCGGCACTTACACTAGCGCTGTATGCCTACATCACTTCTATTTGCGTAGTTCTAAATTTAGCTCAATTCAATCTATCTTCATAGCCAATATTACATTCATTCCGCTGATCTGCTTTTTCTCGTGAACACATGTCATGTTGATAGATAAATACAATGGTTGAACCGGATTACTCTGGAAACTAGCCAATAACTTTTCAAGAAGTCCTATCTGAGACCCCACATTCGTTCCTATCCAACCGTCAGATGAGGATTCTGGTGCGGATCATAGAACCACATAAGCCGACGACAATGGCTGTTGAGTGCGGGTGAAATTATTAGGAAAGTTGTTGGTCGCGCGCTTGAGAATGTAAATTTCGAATGATGGTGAGCTAATCCTATGCTAATTGAAGAAGACCCTCCTCAATCTTGCGACAAGCCGCACGGTATGACAAGTCGTAGTCAATCTCAAACCCTCCATCGGAGGTCTGTCTCTTAATATAATATCCTCGCTGCATATCGCGCCTGGTATCTTCCATCCGAGCCAGATCGGTCACAGCGTCTGTAATATCATACAGAGCCTCATCCTTATTTCCCTTGTATTCATACTCTGTGACCTTAAAATTCCATTCATACTCCCGCGACTTGTCTATCCAGCCCTGATGATATCTACGCTTCAGGTCAATGACTTGAAAATGAATGACGATATCTTTCAAGAACGGCATGCCCTGCAATTGCTTGTATAGCCAGTCTGTAGCAATCAAGTCATTTTTAAGGTGATCGTGAAAACTGAATGCATCAAACATAATATTTAATTCATGTAATGCCACTTTAAGTGTTACAAGTTCTGTACACTGTTCGTGAATTTGCTTGAATATTCTCACATAATCTTCAACGGGCTTGGGACTTCTCCTGGGCGGTAGCATTCTCGAAGGTTGGGGCTAAATTCGGGAAAGTCGACAATGAGGTGACGAAGAAGCTTTGTATTAGGAACACCAATTTGTCTTAAGAAATGAGCAAAAGCTGCATCGGTAGTGGGTAGTAGTTGTGTAGGGGGGATGCCAACCAAATTGAACACCGGCTTGGACTAAAGATATGGTGTGGCTTCACTGTGTATTTCTTTGTTTGCACGAAGCAGTGCGGTATGGAGACCATAGTTCTTATCAAGATGTAAGGCAAGCGATGGAGACGGTCCAGTTTGGAATGAGATTGGTTCGGTGACGATGAAGTATTCATCATAGATCATACGTCGGATTTCAAGTGACAAGCCGAGGAAGCCGACAGAAGAATTCGGGGATCTTTTCAATGAGGATGAGGTGGGTTCATTTTCTTTTGAATGATGGGGGGTTGAAGTTTTACTCCAGGTGTCTTCTCTTTGTTGGGAAGTATCTGATGATTCTTCATGTACCCCGACTTCTTCCATGTTGTTATAAACAATGATCGCAGTAGGAGGATCCATGACTAGTTGTTGATGGCGAGCATTGCGTGAGGCTGTGTGATAACAAAGTTTCTTAAAGTTGGAAGACTTTTTTTGAGTGTATTACCTTGGGAGCGCAAGAACTGATCTGTCTATAGATTTGTTAATTCAAATATCCTTAAAGCTTCTAACACCGATTACCTACCTGGTATGACATATAAGGATTGTGGTGCGAAAGATACAAGAGGAAGTAGTGTTTGAAAATGGTGTGGATTTCGAGAATGATGAAGCGTTTGTGCAGGAATTATTGAGGACATTTATAAGGTAAGGCTTACAAGTGCCACTACTGCTTACCTAGTTTCGAATACACGCGAAGGTACAGCTGTGAAAGTGGGGCTGACTGTTTTTACTTCTTTTTTTCTTCAAAATCCATCATTAGCTCACTCAATACGAAGCTGTACAAGTGAATACAGCATCCCGCAATTCCATCGTTTATATAGCAACCATATAAGATCTCAAAAATTCTACATCTTAACTCAATAAAACACAAAGTCAGGCTACCTCAATGATGTCGAAGTAATGATCTAGCCCGAGACACAATGAAATATGTTATCGTTCAGTATCATCAGGCCACGAGCTGAAGATAATTCAGAGGTCAAGGAGACGCAAGACAAGAAAAGCGTTTTTGTGAAAAGCACAAACCGGTTCTCTGCTAATCTACCATTCGTCTAAGGTGCGACGAATGACATTTGTGCGATTTTCCAATGGAGAACTAAGAATTCGCAAAGTACCAAATTATTCATCATATGAGGAGATTCTATTTCAAGAGAAATGCGTTCTTGATATCAGACGACTGGGCTAATGGTTTGACGATATGACTCTCGTCTAATCTTCTACTTACGTACCGTTACTTCACCTCGCACCCAAAGAACTCGGGCAACGAAAAACACAAATAATGCACAAAAGCATTCCGTTCACCAGAACTACAACGCAAACTTTTGATGATCATCATACTAAGATATCCAACGAAACCCTCACATCCAATACTCATAGGCACCGACTATTCGCTATGCCAGACATGTGCCACAAAAAGGGCTAAACGAGTTGTGTGTCTCTTCTTCGATGAAGCTAGTACAAGGCTCATAAATAGACAAGTACGACGATACGCCACGTAGAATATGCGATGGTAGGAACTCTAACAGATATACTCGATCTCTGTAAAATCTCAATTCGCGTATCGATCGCCAATATGTAGTAGCATCTCCGATAATGGGATTAATGAGGGGTTCTTTCTGTTCCCATGGGTTTCTAGATATGGTTTCATGTGATTTTCTATGGTGAATATAGTGAGGGTACGAGTAGAGTGTGACTGAACAAGAAGGAAAATTGAGTGCATATCTGGGTGTTTGTGGAGAAGGCAGGGGATTAGAATCTCTCAGACTTCACGCACGTTGATGAAAGTGCGAAAAGGTACAATTTGGGACGGAGATGAACTGCGCTTGATTTGGAACTTTCACTTTGGGCGATTGCTGTCAGCGTTTGTGTAGTATTCACGCGCAAATTTGGGGTGAGTTCAGACGGCGATCAGGCTTTGAATGGATCCGATGTTACTGCATCGAAAGGAGCGGGAATTTCGATAACAGAGTACACTGTTTCAAGAATGTTCAGAATAGTTTTAAGCGAGTTCTTACGAACTATCTGAGAAGTTCAAATATGTATATCCGATGAGTTATTTGGCTTACTAGACAATCATCTCGGAAGCGATGATATTAAGTGTTAATAACCCAGTACTGTATTATATGTTTTCAATGAAAATAGCCAGTGAAGGCGATGACGATAATAAAGATTCTATCTCGATACTTAGAGCTCGCCCCTTCTATATACTCAATCGTAAGCATCCGGGTATTTATGCACAGATTGAGCAACCCGAATGGATTCTTTATTCTAATCTTTGTTGGGTCATCTCTGGAGGAGTTTGCTTTGGCTACATCCAAACAGCGACAACTATAGCTATCAATCCAAAACAGTTCTCATACTTTTCTCCCACCTTGTTCCTAAGCGAGGAACATCAGCTTTACGTTACACCAACGTCTGCTTCCAAAAGAGCTGTTCGAAGTTTTAAATCTTCTCATCTATCATTATAAACAAATATCAAAGAGCTAAGAGTGAGAAGCGCAACAGAGGAATTAACAGAAAAGGCTATATATATAATGGCCGGTGAGACGAGAACAGAACAAGCGAGTTTTGTAGAAAAGTGTCGATCATGTACCCCCGCATGAGAATGAAAAGATTTTAAAATTGTACTATAAGCTGAGGATTTAGAGCGACGAAATTTGAGGGTATTGACAATGATAACAGAATTGACGTGATTAGTAGATAATCGACGACAAAAACTTGAGTTTAATTCTGGGCAAAGAATAGCTCGCAAAGAATTTTGGAAATTGAACGGATAGAGAATTCATCGATGTGAATCTGTCAGCCCTGAAGCTGCGCGATCAGAGGATTGAAAGCGCATGTAATCTCAGAGCGAACGAAACATTGCTCTATATAACAGGAAAAAAATTGTTCGTTAGATGAGGGAAGTGCCAGCATTATATCTGTATCAGTAAATAAATTGTGCATCCATCATAAGGTTATCTACGGTGATCTAAAACACACCGTTGAATGAACCGAATGAAGATGACGTGTTAAAACTTCTGTGAATAGCCCATTTCCTAGATATAAAAAGCACCGAACATTTCCTGTTCAGTTTTTCTTTCAAAGAAAATCAATAAAAGACGATAGTCTCTAATTCAAGATTAACAACAACAAACCCCCGGTCAGCGACAATAAAAACGTGCCATCTTCCCTTCAAGACTTCAGATCAACACGTGAATAATCTTGGTCGGAGTACCCCGGGAGTGCTCTAGAATAAACCATATATCATGGGCCAGTTGCAGAATCTCTTGTATTACCGGCCAAATCAATGTATGGTGTATACAGTTTGTGGATCAATGGAGAGGATTGTTATGTACCCCATTCTTGGATGGAATTCTTATCTTGATCGTGAGTATGTAAAGAGAATGGGTTGTGAATGAAGCGTGAGGGGGTAAATGGAGAGTCAGTGGAGAAACAGAGTGGGAGGAAAAAAGAAAGCGAGAAGTAGTTGAAGATGGAGACGAAGATGGGGAATCAACAGTGGAGAATAGATATTCTACCTTCAGAATCATATGAGCAGTACAAAACTCCACCCAAGTCCAACTATCGAATATCTTCATACCGCACAAGATCAACCTCATACTCCTAAGTGTCACAGAATCTACTATAAACTAGCAGTGCTACCTTCTGACTTCTCACCTAATGAAATTTTATTCCAGAAAATCCACTTGATGAGAAAGTATTGGAGAACGAAGCAACATGTCAAGATTCGGGATCAATTGAAACCTCGTAAATTATTATAACTCTCAATAAATGAACCAAACTACTGATGGAATTCGACTCCAGATTTCTCAATGATAGTTTTGGCGTGATTATGGTCTACAATCTATCACAGCGAGAATTGTTGAATAAAAACAATATTCACATAACCGATACTATGATCTTAGCAATCGTCAGCATTGTTTTACCATGACGTCGCAGCTACTTTCACACTTCTGAAGTTCAATCGCTAGTACCTTCACCCTCCCTCTTCCGGGTCATCAATTGACGACTGTCAACTATTTAAAGATGCAATTGTATTGAATGAATCATGCAATGTCGCAAATAATTCTGCCTCGCAAGTCTATAGATATGAAGATTAAACAGATATTTCGGCGAAATGTTTATATATCAGCGATCTGGAGATTCTGTGAGGGAATCTGTGTAGCTGGTGAGGTAGTATGAATTAAAGGTAGAGTTGACGGAATAGTAAAAGAGCGAATACTGAATATTAACTTACTGTATATGAAGAAAGTACAGAAGATGACGTGCTTTCATTCACTCACTCATTCGGTTCACATATCCCTCTCACCTACCCAGCATTTCACCTTCCACTCCCTAAAACCAACGCTAGGTATCGTCTGTCTACCCAAGCGAGAAATCTCAAGGTAGTGATATATATACACCTCGAATTCATGTTAAAGACAAACAGAAAATCAAAGACGAACAGCTTCAAACGTGAATGAAAAGAGAGGGGTGCATAAACAACCAACTCTCAGAATCTGCAATCCTCAATCTCAAAGTGTGAGAGGTCGATAGTAGTAAGAAATTATGTGGCGGGCAATTGAGTTTGTGGTACTTTTGACAACGAAAATAGGAATATCACTACTGCACTTCCCGAAATTACAACAAGAAATCTCTAACAGAAATAAATCACGAATTAAATCGGTTTGCACCTGAAGATTTTCCAACCCATCCACATGCATTCCGTTGAAGATGTAAAATAGTCACACTACGATACTGTGCCTTCTGAGAATTTCCACAAATATCTTTCTAAGACTTAGTGGTTTCAGTGATTGAGAAAGCAGTGTTTTATCTACCTCTCTTTTCAAATTTTCTGGTGGGTCAAGAACTATGAATCGAAACAAGAAGTGTATACTTATGATTCACCACATCGACCTACTTAACAAGGTGAATCATGGACAGAATCCACTAATTTTGATGAAAATTCAGAATAGCAAATCACAGTCAGGGGTTTTGTACATCAGCTGTTCAGCGTATGGTCCTCGGGATATAAAAGAACCTCTTCATCAACTTCAAAACAGTAGACAACTTCGAGAATAGATGTGGACCCGCTACAAGGCCTGGAAAGTGGAAATTTGGAGATAATTTTGATTCTCTAGAATCTGAGACTTCTAAGAATATGAAGACAAAATAGAGAGATATAATTGGTACTGAAGAGATATTATGGTATAGTGAATAGATGATAATCATAGGAAAGTAACAACAATCCTCATCAGGAATCGAATACTCCTAGCGACAACATAAGCTGGCAACTCCTCAACATGACAATACAATTATGCAGCCAAAGCCAAGAAGAAAAGAGAAAGAGAAGAAGTCCTCGCATCTCACACTATTCTGAGAATTTTCTAGTCCCTCTTCTCACATATCAACTACGAAACAACATCTTGTGTCCACTCAGTAGCAGTAGTCATAAAGTGTCGTTCATCCTTTCTCGAGATCCATAATTTGTGCTCATTCTTGCACAGCTCAAGCGTTTATTTTTACAAAAGTCGTAACTGCTCAGCTACGTTCTCTCCGCAAAAGATTTTATATCCCGCATCCAGATCACCTTCCCCCAACCCTAGAAAACCATCTCAAAACTTAAAATTCCCCTCCTACTCCCCACTGAAAAACATCAAGCACATCTGCCAGAAGACCTCAACAAACCGTTCAGAAACTTTCTTCCTTTCCTTCACATCCCTGTATCTATCTCCATCTTTCTTGTACTTCCTCGCTTCTTACTCCTTGCTCTACCTAATATCTTGATATACACAAATATCTATCCCTTAACGCTCATCCATCCATCTTTTCGCCAAATACATTCCGTACATTTCGAGACTTATGATTTGACAGTAAACAGATATAAAACACATACTCGGAAGTAAACACCAAAATCGAGAACAACAATCATCACCCGAGAAACACTTACCGAACAAACCCACTTCCTCTTCCTCTTCCTCTTTCGACCAGAGTAGGTAAGTAAGTCTGCCATAGCATCAGAACCAAAGCGAAAAGTGTAAACAGGAACAAAAGAATCAAGTAGCAATACACCAGCACGTTACAATCCCATACACAGATTCCAAATGAAATCCAAGATTGAACTGAGATTCATCTTTCTTGTGATTTTACATCTTCTGGATTGAAATTAATGGTAGAGTGGTTACTTATACTTTATAGCCTTTTATTTCTGGGGGTTTAATGTAGAGGATGAGGATGAGGGGATGAGAAGCGAAGAGTGGAGAAGAGAAAATATTGAGGGCGAGAGGGTACAGTCTACATACATGCTCGTTCACCAATCCAAAACATCGTTCACCCCCCTAATTTCCCAATCGAATAATCGGTAGCTAGGTATGTATATCTGCAACCACGTTCCTTATGTACAGTGAGGTATTCCAGATTTAGCTAGTCCATTTTTACCCGTCCTGTTCTTTTCTATCCACACTATCCTCATACACAACCCCTCCCTCTCCAGCTCTCTCCTACTTCTCCTTCCAAAAACCAAACATCCATCAATCCTCATCTCAAGGCTGAAGTTGATTCCACATCACCCAACCCCCCAAGCACGACCGAGTATCTCCAGAATTCTACCTCTAACCTCCAACTACACTTGATTTCCTCAGAATGAAGATCTCACCATTACACGAATGCCACGAATGAAGATGAACAACAACAATAACATGATGATAGTAATAGTGATGTAAAAATACAATGTCAAAGATATCGATATTGATGTTAACAACAACAACAACAACAAACCTCCTAACCAACCACCTCAAACATTCAAAATTCCACCCACTCTCAATTTCCTCAAAAATGAGAAGTATAATGCAATGGAAATATCAAGAATCAAGGTGAATCACAATGACAAGAATAGAATAGTGATAGCGATGTAGAGAAATGATATGATATCCACATCAGCGACAATAATAATACAAGCACAACCTCAACCACAACCACAACCACCACAACCACTAACAACAATCCTCTCAACCTCACCCCTTTAGAAAAAGAGATCATCATCGGCAAACTACAAATAGCCCTCGTTTCGACGTTGTCTGCCAGAAACAACATACGATATCCAGCATGAGGAGACTCCACCTCGTGATCCTCCCGTCTTTCAATGACTTGTGTTGGGTTGCAAAGCATCAGAAGTTGAGGAGGTTATATGAAAGAATAGAGAGTGGAGGGGAGAGAGGGGTCCACTTTGAATCCGACCTTTTTACCCCGGATTATCTAACTGTGGAAGTGATATTGGATGAATAATCTTGCAAAGCAGCATACACATACACACAATCTCCAGCACAGGTAAAAAGGGACCAATTCCTCAATTGAATCAAAAAAGCTTTCTTATTCTATGGTATAATCCCCGCATACAAAATTCACAACCACGAATTAATCAGATTTCCACCTCTCATGATAAACACCAAGCAAGCAAAACCCATTTCAGAATGTCCAAAAGACTTCTCATCTTCTTCGCAATCAATCATACGCCCACACAGCTTTCAAATCCCTCTAAAGCTCAGACTTGGCGTCATTCAAAGCCTCGGTGACCGCTTTCTCCAAAGCCTCTGGCTTGGTTGTGGAAGCCCATCTTTGCTTAACTTTTCCATCTCTACCGACTAACCACTTTTCGAAATTCCACTTTACGCGTTGAAGACCGAGGAGACCTGGTTTTTCTGATTTGAGCCATTGGAAGAGAGGAGCAGCATTATCGCCATTGACGTCAATTTTTTTCATCTGTGTAGTAATTATTAGTATTGATTCCAATTGATTAAATGTCCAGAATAGATGGCATATTATAATCCAAAGGAGGAATATGCAGAGAACGTACAATGGGGAAAGAGACGCCATAGTTGATTTGACAGAAACTTTGGATTTCCTCATCAGAACCTGGATCTTGACCTCCGAATTGATTACATGGGAAACCCAAGATAACAAAGTCATCGCCGTGCTTCTCCTTCATATCTTTGTATAATTTCTCGAGACCTTCATATTGAGGAGTGAAACCACATTTGGAAGCTGTGTTGACGATTAAAAGGACTTTGCCTTTGTAATCTGAGAGGGGCGCTGGTTCGCCTTTTTCTGTGAGGAGAATGGGTGGTCAGTATAGGTGATGATTGTGGAAATTACTCGTGTGCGAACATGAGGGGTAGGATGTGTGCAAGAATTGGGAAGAGATGAGATGGGATGCGATGCAATGCGATGCGGAAAGGGGAACATACTATTCAAAGGTTCGAACTCATAGATTGTAGCTGCGGACGACATGGTAATATTCCTGATATGTTGTTGAACGTAATTTTGGGAATGTTTCTTGAAAGTTAAATCTGTTTTGCGTGATGTCCAAATTTTGGATGATGAGGAACTTCGTCGAGAGAATGCGACGAAGTTATATGGTAGAGAAGAAAAAGAAGAAGATTGGAAGTGTGAGGGGAAGTGGGTTTTATTAAGGAATCGTATTGATCGAATCGTCTTGAATTGTAAGTGTATGGGTATCATAAAGAGATGGAGATGGGATGACGTTTGAAGAATGGGAATATTTGTAAGAAAGTGAAGGCTCTTGAGGTCTAGATGGTACAGCTTTTGTATGGGATTATGAGGGGTCTGAGAGGGTTTTGGGGTTAGACCGTGTGAATTTGAGGCCAGGGGAGGAATTTCGGGGTTATTTTAACGCCGTGGCGTAATTAGAGAATGGAGAGGTTTGATTGGTCGAAATTAGGAGTTTTTTAAGTTTTAACTAAGTATAAAGTGGAGATCTCAGCATTTATTCCGAGGTTAGATTAGCAGATTTAGCGGGGAATGCCGAAGCTGGAAACGTTGTGGTGAAGCGGCAAAAAAGCATCAAGCATTAGTAGCTAGTGAGTATTTTCACGTGGGAGTAAAATGACTAGCTGACTAGCTGACTAGCTAACTAGCTGACTAACTGACTAGCTGACCAGCTAACTGATTCCGAGACTTCTTGTTAGTAGGCGACTGGCTGGCTGCTGATGGACTGACACTTGACTGGCTGACAACCTTATTATTAGCTGACTAAGTAAACATAAGTTAGAGCATTTTAGGCCAAGATAAGGGTCTTATCTGACTCTAAGCTCAAGCCTTTCTCAAGCCTTTCTCAAGCTACTCAGTCAGTACCTGTCCATCGTGAAACTCTATTTGTATAAACATTATTATGCTTAAGAAACAATCCGAGCACTTGATTAGAACAATGGCAACGGCAACGTCAACTGCACCAACTTCTCCTACGGAAAAGAAGAGAAATATTGTAATTATTGGTATGTTTTCCGGATTTTATAAATACCAGACATTCATGTTGACTTCTGCATAGGTGGTGGAATTATTGGTTGTACATCTGCCTATTACCTGACTCGCCACCCCTCATACAACCCCTCAACAACAAAAATTACCATCATCGAAGCTCAATCCATCGCATCAGCAGCTTCTGGAAAAGCCGGTGGATTACTTGCATTGTGGGCACGCCCAGCGTCAATCGTACCACTTTCATACAAACTTCACGCCGAACTTGCAAAAGAACATGATGGGGCAAAAAGATGGGGATATCGTCAATTACATTGTGGCTCTATAGGAGCCAAAGCACGACTTATTCCTGAAGCCGATCCGAAAGAACCAACGGAAAATGAAGGAGAAGCTTGGAAAAAGTTACCCAAAACTGATATGAAGAAACAGAAGAAATACCAGGGAGACGATATACCAACGACTTTGGATTGGTTCGAAAATGATAATGTAAAATGGTATTCGGAAATGGGAACTCCAGAGACAACCGCACAAGTACACCCATATCAATTCACAACTTCAATGGCAGATTTGGCAGTGGAAAAGGGAGTTGAAATTATTTATGGTTCGGTCACCGCAATTGACTATACAGGAAATAGTGTAAAGGGTGTTACTTACGAGGACAAGGAGACGAAACATATTCACATGTTACCGGCGAATGATGTCATATTATCTGCGGGGCCTTGGACCAGTCATGTATGGCCGGAAGCACCAATCACTTCACAAAGAGCGCACAGTGTTGTGATTGAAGCGGAAGTATCTCCTTGGGCAGTTTTCACGGAAATCGATTTACCAAAGGGGTTTGGAAGAAAAAGTGAAGATGGAGCGAAGAAGAGAAAGCATGATAAGATGGTCAATCCGGAAATGTATGCTAGACCTGATGGAACAGTCTATGCTTGTGGTATGTAATCCTCCTTTTCTACATTTTGATTGGTACTGACAAATGAATGTACAGGTGAAGGAGATGAGAGAATTCCTCTCCCTAAATCTTCAAATTTAGTCGTATGCGATGAATCTAGTTGCGATGATATTCTAGATTACGTAGGGTCTATATCTGATCCTTTGCGAAACGGAAAAGTCCTAGCCAGACAAGCATGTTATCTACCATTAGCTAGTAGTGGCGGCGGTCCTTTGATTGGACACACAGGTATCCGAGGACTTTTCTTGGCAGCAGGTCACACATGTTGGGGTATTCAAAATAGTTGTGCGACTGGAAAATTAATGAGTGAATTTGTGTTTGAAGGGGAAGCGAAGAGCGCAGATATTCACAGTTTAGATCCGAGAAGGGTTTTGGGTAATGAGGATTAAGTGGGTGAGAAAAGGGGATTAAAGACTATCTAGAAGTATCTAATAAAATATACGATCATCTTTTTCTCTTGGTAACTACATGAAGACGAGCTTAAAAGCAAGCCAAGGAAAATGATTTGATTGAGATGTCAGATTTATTCCACATTTCCTACGAATTTATCTGAGGATACATACCTGATCTTGATCCTGTACTTGTATTTGACAAGTTCTCCGAACTACAATTGTTTGTTGTCATTGATTCCTCTGCCACTATCATCTCATATCTCGATTACATCCAACCTATCATCCAATATCCATTATATCGTTCCAACATCTCATATTCTCAAGATCTGAACACCAAACGACAACAGCCCCCCCCTCCTCTCATCCCATACAAATATTTGTCAATATTCCACGATACCTCTCTTCTCATCTGAAATCATCTATTGGTATTTTAATATTAGATGATGATGAATGCCAAATCATCCCATTTTATCTCGTATGTTTTTGTTTCTCTTGGTTTTTATCTGGATTACCTAGGTATTTCATCATGTCTCGTTGCGAATTGTTCCATGATTTCGGTGTGATATTTGTAACAGATGGTTAGGTGGGTAGATGGTGGATGTATATGGTGGGTAGTAAATTTTGGACTTCGGATCATCTTCTTGGCTTTGATGTTGGATTTTGGCTATGGTTGTGAGGTTAGGGAGGAGGGAGGAGAGGGGTTATATACTCCTTTTTGGGCGTTTGTGGTGGGCGTGGGGGGAGAGGGGCGGGGATGAGGATGAGGATGAGGATGAGGATGAGGATGAGGATGAGGATGAAGATGCGGTTGTGAGGGATGGGGTGGCGATAGGGATGTGGAAGAAGGGAGAAGAGAGGAGCGGAGCGAGATCTGTGTGGATTGTATTGATTTTGTGCATTGAACTGTTACGTTGAATGAACGCATGAGAAAGAGAGAGAGAGGTTATCGATTGATCTGTTTGATATTATTTGAAAGGTTCTCTTGGTGGGAAAATGGTATTTGGGAGGTTGTGGGAAAGGGGGGTGAAAAGTGGAAATGTGGAGTTTGGGATATATAGAGATTTGGATATTTGGATACACAGAGACTCCAGATATAACATATGAATAGCGTGAATATTCTGGAGATTAGATCAAAGTGGTGTGAACGAGAGAAATGTCGTAAGCGCATGCTATGGTTTTAGTGGAATTGGGAGGTGGCTATTAGACTATGGCTGTTTTTTTTGGGGGGGGGGGGTTATGTATTTGGTTTTGTTGTGTGTGTGTGCGCGCGTTGAGTTGAGAGGAACTGTGATGGTGGGTTCTTTGCTAGAGTTCTTGGTTGGACTTTGTGGTTGGTAGGGCGTGGAGCGCAGCGTGGTGAGAAGGAATGCGGGGAGTGAATGTGTACGTCGGTGCATTCGTTGGGAGATGCGTGGAGAGGAGCTCTATAAATATCGCCAGAAGAAGAGGTGCACATCAGTAAAATTATGGAAAACGATGAAGCGAAATTGTCTCAGGGATATAGCAGTGCTGGGATAGGTCTTGACTTACTGCTTGAGTGTAAGTTTGGGTGCGGTTTAGTGGTGTAGGAAGAATTGATGAGAAGCTCCAAGTGAGATAGGGGTTGGGGAGATGGTGTTTTATTATCGATAACCACAGGTTTGTTTTATGCTAACCGTGTTCATTTCGCCGTTGGTGGTAATTTCAAATGTTTTAGTGTTGTTGAAAGGTTTCACTGTCAATCACTGGATTAGATGCAATTGATCGATTCTCATTTTCGAGAATCCGAGAAACTGGTTCTTCTGGCGGTATCATATTTCATCCCGAAAGCATAAGGATTCGTACTCGATCTTGTCATTTGGTATTCGTTAATTTGTTCCTTTGATTGTCTTGGATATTTGATAGTTTGGGGTCGGGAGCTTTTATAAGAGAGCGGAGGGAAAAGATGAGGAGGGTTGGAGTGGCAGTGAAACTGGAGGTGGCTTGTGTGGAATGTTGGGTGTGATGTGGTGAAGTTGGGTTAGTGGAGATGGGATGATAATTGGGGGTATTGAAGAGTGTGGAGGAGAAACTCGTAGCTGGGATATCTCAACCCGGTTCAAAGATCTAGGAATAAACGTTGAAAACCACTGATAGAGAGGTGTACAATGAAGATAAATGTTGATTCTGATGTATCTAGCCCTTGAGTGATTTCAGGAAATCAGATGAGCGCGGGTAAGATGTCATACCACTAGATATCGAGAAAAGGGGTCTTACTGAGATGAGATGATTCAGGCTCGTTTTCGCTTCAGCTGTATTTTTGTGGAGAATGAAATGGGTTTAGCGTGGGGTGATCAACTTCAGCAAAGGAACTTGGATTTTGAATGGAGAAATGGGGACTGGGGAAAGAGTTTTGGGAGATCACGAAGTATATGTTTTTGTGTTTTTTCAAGTGTTTAGAGCTTCAATTGGGGAATAGTACGCGTATCCGTATCGAGGACATGGGGCTTTGGAATTCCCGTTACCCGTCGTCAAGTTGTTGGGGTGCACTTGAATTGCGAAGTTCTTGCTCAGAATTTTTGGGAGCCAGTGAAAAACTTGCGAGCTTTGCGGTTTTTGTCAACTGTACTAATTCTTCACTACTAACGAGATTCGTCATTCATTTTATTCTCAATTGTTGTCGTTCATGAATTATGACCATCAAAAAAACGACAATTGTTGTCCTTTATTCAAATATCTCGCTTACTTTAACGAGAATTTCTACGAGAGATGGAGGGACCCCGTCTTATGAAAACACTCGGTGGGACTTCTCATATGGCTGCATCTTCGATAGAAACATGTTTCTTTTTGGGTGGCTACCGCCAGGCCATTCATACTGCGTCTGGGATGGGTAGTGTTTGGGTTATTTGTCTCCTACTTTGGTTTGTTTGTAGTTCACATGGAAGATAGAAACGCAATATTCCTCGTTTTTTCTTTTGATCCCTGAACCCTGGCTGGGGATTGAATATGTCTACACCTCCCATAATTTCTATCTTAGTTGGCTGAGCTGGAAATTAAAATCCACACATAGGCTCAACTATCGTTGATTCACTCACCAAATACACAACCTTTTCGGAATCTCCCTCAAGGTCAGGTATATAGTATTCTCAAAGACCGGAGCGATTTTGTTACTCCCAAGTAAATGATTGAGCATGGATCCTGGACCGACATGGGGAATGTGGTAAGTGTTTATGAATTGGAGATGCCTTTGAATTGGACAAGGCGTATGTGAAGTTCTTATCTTTTAAATTTTGACCAGGGATTTCCTTCATCATCGTGAATTTTTATTTTTATATAAGAAAAATGGTTTGTTGCTTGTAAATATACTTTATCATCGTCAGCAGATATGAGTACTGTCGAAGAATCCCAATAATAACCATCATCCTTTCCACATCACAATCTCTATTTCAAGAATTACCATCCGATCCCATACCCTCCTATTTTGTGAATGAAAAGTCGACACTTCACTTCAATGCGTTCTGGCTGAAACTCTTCAAGCATACCACAATATCGTGAGATGCCATCTCATACCTTTGTCTTGATATTTGGGTGGTTAAGGTTATTTAGTCTTTATATAACCCGGGGTTGGAAGATTGCGGGTGCTAGAGAGAGGAGTGGGGCAGGATATTACAGAGTATCTTGGAATTTTCTTGAGTGAGCTTCAGCAGCGACATGAAGAGCACTGAGCATGAAGATAGCCTTGAGTCATAGTAAATCTGTGTCAGCGCCACTACTGGGAGTCTCAGTTGAGCACGGTGGTTCGGGAAAAGAATATGTAAAGACGGTACTTGGGTTCATTCGCTTGAATTAGGAATTAGGAGGCCCACTTTGTGAGGAGATGGAATGTACTTAAGAACTCAGAAGAACTTTGTTAACTTTTCTGCCAGGAAACGCGTTTGTGTCACTCATAGTACTAGCAGACAAGGTATGATTTGTTTCTTTAGCCAGATTTTCTTTCCTGGAATTTTTACTGGCTTCCCGGGGTTGGATCATATGAGCTGAATTTTCAGCCGATTTATAACCTCTTATTAGAAAGTCACTTTTCATTTTACTGCTGCTAAATTAGTTCATTTTTGAGTTGGTCATAGATTTTTTCATATAGGTCTTCAATCTCACGCCTTATAAGTCAAATTTTCATGATACATCTGTATCTGGCACTGATCGATGTCACCCTCTCGCTTCATGCGGTATTCAGCTCTATATGAATTCTAGTTTTACCCATTCTTGAATCTTTAATGTTTAAATATCAGGCGTTTTCATGGAGTTGTGAGTTCTTGGAATTGACAATTGTACAATTTATATAGGTATGCGGCAAGGTTTTGGGATAGAATGGACCAAAATTTTGCTACTTGGTGTGCCATTGAGTAAGAAGATCTGCAGGGTAATTTTAACGTCTTAAAATGAGTTTAGCCTGAAATCATGAGCCAATGAAAAATCGTCTACTCACCCCCGGGATAGATCATTCACGCACAATTCTGAACGACTCAATTCAGGTGAAGTGAGTTAGGCACTTGAAAGTCTGATCTTCCCTAGGGTCTTTTGTTGTTATAGGAAAATACTCAGGATGAAAACACGTTTACAGGGAAATTTCAGTTGGTCTTTTTCAGCCCCATTGGTTAGCTCCGACATCTCTGTCAGCTCTTGCGGCTGCGTTTCTGTTCACATACTTGTGTTGATAAAAGATACAAGTTGGGGCCGAGCTTGCGAGATATTCTCATTCAAGAGGTTTACACAGGATTGAGTGTAGTAACCTAGCTTAGAGCTAGAGGACTAGGGAGATTGATGTCGAGGTGAAAGCAGAGAGAAGATATTATGCAGAGCCTTGCTTCCGCGACCGAGATGTATCTTTCGTTCAATATATGGTTTGGAGCTGTAATATCGTTGCTTTGGTCGCTTGCAGGCTGTCAAAGTAGATAGTAGAGCGCCAGAAGAGAGGAATGGAAGCGTGCCATAGGAGAAAGGAGCTATCTAAAATACGGATCATGGCAACAAGATCATTAGAACTTCCATATTCGTCTTCTCCAACCAAACAGTGACTTGAAATCGAAAGAAAAACAAGAGCTGAAGTCTTCAGATGAGGAGATGAGAGGGTCCGAGAAAGAAAAATGATATTATGGGAGAATTATTGATATCATCTGAGAGAACGGATTAGAGACAGGAGGTTAACTAGGAGGTTCAAGACAATTCCCATCTTATTTACTGACATTGAACATTTCCATAACTCGATAATTACTTTTTAGCGGTATAGATATTAGACATTATCAACAGCTGCCATTTACATCGTGTCTAGGACAAATCATTACCGAACAAGATATTTCGTCACGAGAACTCACAAAACGTGACAATATGAATCAACCTTACTTCGCCTTTCAACTGTGTAGATTTATTTATCTTCGAGACTGTGTTTCGTAGAGTTGATTATCTTTGAACATCTTCGTAATGAAAATATTTCCTGTGACACAACTTAAGAGCAAATTTTTCACTGCTTACACGAGCTCCAATTGACCATTCACAGGTGCAGCTTTGTGCCCCTTTTCTTGGAATGGGCACACTTTCGTACACTGGTGATAAAGTTGTTGAGAAGCTTTCTGAGGCAAAATCAATACAATTCCTACGCCCCGCTTCTGTATCTCGTGGGAGATTCTATCTGTAAGAGATACATTTTCTCACAACGCGGGAAAAAATATACTTTACTTCGTTTTTCTTTGATTGGGGGGATATGTTTACAATACCGTTACAGTCTTCCTCTACCGAATATCGAGAGAGGGGACTGGGCCCCGCTAAGCCTAAAGCCAGATTTAGCCACTGTTTACTTTAAGCCTCACGATTATTCAAATTCATCAATTGATTCTTTCAACCTCTAAGATCAACATTGTGGAAATATTTGCTTTCTTCCAAACTTTGACTATTTCGAAAAGTCCGATCAAAGCACCGAGAATATAATGGCAACTCATCCGAGCCTCCCTAGCCTGGATTTCGGCGAAATCGACATCACTCCACCGAGCTTAAGACGGCAATCTCGGCCTTACAGCAAACCAATAAGTCACGAATCTGAAGCGATACCACAACTTCCCTCCTCGTTTAGTGATGCTTCTTCTCTCCTCGATTCCAGTAGTCGTACATCAGATATAGCCATCAAATCAATTTCATCGCGATCCCAAGCGAAAGTCCATGATATTCGCTATTGTTTGATGGAGTATTATGTTGACTGGAAGTGGGAATTCCTTGCAAGCCTTATCGTTATTGCTTGTCCATTTGTTATCATCATGACACTATACCCCAATGCAGGAAAACCTTTACCAGAGTGGCCATTCCAAATATCAATCAACACACTTCTATCTATCTATGGTCTTGTGTTCAAAACGTGTCTGACTTTTATCGTCACTTCGTGTATTGGACAACTTCAGTGGTTTTGGTTTTCCTCCCGTCGTCCACTTTACGACGCCGTTTGTTATGATAGAGCTACTCGTGGACCATGGGGTTCTATCCAGTTACTGTGCTCTGAGCACATTCGGAATCCACTGACTGGACTTTGTGCCATAATATTGATAGCTGCGGTCGCTATTGATCCTTTGATCCAACAACTAGTTTTGCCATACGATTGCGAGGTATTAACACTAAATATTGAGGCGACGTTGCCCCGAACCAATCAGTTTGACAATGTAGACAGCATATTGATAGATCCTACTTCCGAATTACCGATTAAATCTGCAATTTACGCCCCAGAAAACTGGATGACCTGGCAATGTATAACAGGAAATTGCACATTTTCAGATACATATGGAACATTGGCATACTGCAGCAGTTGTGAAGACGCATCGGATAAGCTCATCTTCGAGACTACCTGTTATGATGAAGAGGCCAACATTAATGTTACTTCTACAACAGGATATTGTGCCGGAGCTTTAGGCTCTTTTGCAACAACTAAATTTTTTGCGGGAGATTATCCTCCTGACGAAGATGATCCATTTACAGGTCAGTGGGTTAACACGACAATTAGCTTTGTAAGCACCCCTGAAAGTTATCAACCCAACAACCCATTGGCAATATCGGTAATTTTGGGCCATCCAAATCGCCCTGGTGAGAGAGTATATATCATAGTTCCGAGGACCGTAGATCCAAGTAAACGATTAGATCCAGAGTCGATGGGACCTTGGATAGATCGTAACATGACAATAACATCAAATCCTTGGCGACTCCAAGGACACGGTGCAGCGGTATGTTCGCTACAGCCATGTATCCGCACTTACAATGCGAACATCAACGGAACTCGACTTACTGAACACTCGATTTCCAGCAGTTCGACTCACCCCTGGGGTTTTAGCTTAGAGTCCCATGACGACATTGGTGAATATTGGATAGGGATGATTGATACACACTGTATATCGGAAGGTGAAAGGGAGGCATTGTCAACGCAAGGCTATAAAATTGAGAGCTCTTCACAATGGCTTGCTTTTACCAGATCTTTCTTGCCGTCTCAGGTTGAATATGACCTAGTCTCATCTCTTCTCTCACACAGATGCTTGTATATGATGGCACACATGATAATGCGCGGCATTCCATTCATAACTGATTTGCTGGGCGACAACCTCCATGGCTATGTATCAAGCTTGGAACCAGGTATGTCTATTGATGGAGGGATTAATAGAACAACTGCGTTTGGTGGATTGGTTGGTCCTCGAATGATGTTGGACTTGTATGATAATGGCTACATTGAATTTGAAGATGTACAGGAAACATTTTCCAACATCTCAGACATAATTACAGCTTGGATACGAACGCATGGGAACAGTAACTTTTCAGATCCGGCTGTTGGGAAAGTTCTACATTATGCAACATGTTTGCGCGTTCAATGGCCGTGGATAGCATTTCCAGCAACCTTGGCAATCCTTTCACTGGTCTGTTTCGTGGCAGTGGTCGTTGTTATGGACAGACAGCAAGTACCAGTATGGAAATCCTCACCGCTGGCATTGATCATGAGAGGATCCAACAAAGAGTTTTGGTGCAAACCTACTGCCGACGCGATGGAGGAGAGGTCTAAGGATATCACTGTCATTCTTATGAAGGGGTCTGACCCACAAATTCAGGTCGTGAGAAAAGATTTCGGGCTCGTGGATATAGTCAATAGGGGAGGAAATAACTCTACTCGAACTCTAAATGACGACGCGAGGGAATAATCTGTCTCTAGGTACCCACGATGCTATGCAGGATAAATCATTGAATTACTTGTTATCCATTCTGGCTTGCCTTGAAGCGAGTAGACCGAAATACAAGGGTCACTAGTCAACTACATTTGGCGGCGGGAAGAGACAAAAACCTCAAAAAATCGCATTCTACGCCAAAAGATGGAGATAGAAAGAATCGAACTTCCCTCTCATACACTCACGGTAAAATCTTCCAACCGCCCGAATCAGCATGGGCACGACTCATTTTCATAAATCTTTTCAATCTTCGGATTCACACTGAGAGGTGTGTATTCTACCACTGAACTATATCTCCTATTGGATTTATTTGATGGATGTTCGTATTAGTTGTCTTAATGGGATGAGTGGATAAGGATGTGATGGTTGGGGAAGGAGCACTCGACCTTGTGATGGAAGACGGAAGGTGGTAGATGATCTGAAAATTATCATACAATTTATGAACGTGAGTGTAACTTGGAGATACTTCAAGATCTTATATTTTTGAGTGAATACTTCCATTCTTAACAGGTATCAATACGAATACCGATTAGCGGATCTGTTTTTTGCTATATAAAGATTTCGAGGCGGGGATTCTCTCTGTCGTTTTATCCCGTAGCGACTTGCATTTTGAAGCAGGGTGCCCATACTGGGGAGGGTCTTGAAATGATTGCAAATTGTGGAGGCCCAATATTCTGACAAATTCATTGTTGAGATGAGTGGTCAAGTCAAAATATCAAAATATTATTATTTTCGTTTTCTCGTGATTATTGCTCAGGTTATATGACATTTTCACCGCTGAGATGTGATTACTGTTATCGATCTCATACATTGTTACGTCTGCTATATAAGTCATCTTTTGCTCTGCTTGTCCCTCGGGCATGTAATAGAAATTTGGTGAAAACGACGTCTCTTCCGAAACTCCAACTGCGATGCCTTTGCAGCACGGGAAATAAAACGAAATCTTGATTTGGCGAACGTCTTTTCGTTCATTGTATAGCCATTAAGAAAAGAAAAGAACATTTCTTTTATAACCTTAGATGTCACGGGAATATGTAACAAGATGGAAAATAGGGTGGATGACTTGAAGAAAAGCTAGCGAGAGTAGGCATGGTTCTTGATCTTTCATAAAGGGGCAAGAATGAATGACTGCCAATAATAAGTTTCTCAATCAATTCTCATACCTGTTTGTAGCTCTCCAACATTGCCACTGTAATAGAGACCGCAGAGAGACTAGGTATAGTCTGCACGAAGAGCTCATTTGTTGCTTTGAGTCCAGAAAAGAAATGATGAACATGCTTATGACGGATTCAATCTCTAGCCGAAGACTCGACTTGTGCCAGAGTATGTTGGACTATTCTTAGTACCGTGATAGTACGATAACTAGTAGTTGTTATCGCTTATGAGTCTCTTTTATCATTTGATTCCTATTTCACGGGAATGACAATAATCGATCAAGCAATTCTCTCAGAGCTGGGGGCAACGATCTTTCTAAGTGTTTGAGAAGCTGTATTAGATGGAAGTGCTTTACGATAAAAGAAATTACGATTCCACCTCTGACTCCTAGTCAATCTGCGTTCGCTGGATCAATGTTGCTTGTTTTACCAAGGACTCTCTATAGTAGCTTTAATAGGACTACCTCCAATATCTCTAGAAAGGAGTAGTGGGGAAGATTAACATGAGTGGCAATTGATATATTTGATTAAGGGTCCGGTTATGATGAGATTCACTCGAATCCGCAACAAATCTAGCTTTAAAAAGACTAAAACCTCACTCGAAAGGTATTTTCGTCACAAGCAAGAGGTCATATTATGAATGATGAAGTCAGTCCCTCGGGGCGAAGACAATTTGTCAACTTTTGGTTGGAAATCAGATCGAAATGCGAGATTGCTAGTTGATTTTGAGTGGTGCTACAACGGACACTTTTCTACTGCCGTATTGTCTCCTTACGTTGTTGCGTCTTTCTTTATCTTTGCCATTCGTGTCGATTTCATCGTACTTTCAATAACCATGATTTCGAAATAGACACATGGCAACAATACTCCCGGGGATACTTCATGGAAATACTTTGGTGATCCCAGTGTGGACACGTCCATTACACATCTTTTAACTCTCTCATTACATCGGGGGAAGACAGGAATGTTCCCCGCCGATTATCGCGGTGAGAAAGGTAGCTTTCTTCAACATGCCAGAAAGACAAAAGAGGAAATAGAATCGGATGTTGAAAAATTAAGTTCCGCTAGCTGCATGAGGAAGGGGCCTTGAGAATCGGAGAAATTTGGAAATGTCTCGAAAGATGCAGTGCTTGCAGAAAGTTACATCCTATGCAAGTTTAGTCCTGATTGTGAAAAAACTCACCCGGGGGACATTTAGAATGGGAACATCCGGTGGAGGGAGCAGTGTTTCCCATGCGAAGACTATTAGCATGTAGTTACACTCCAGCTGTCGCTTCATCGACAATAATGAAAAAACAGAACAAGTAGAGCGCAGAAAGACGTTCAACGATGATCATGATAAACAAAAACATTCCATTCAATAATTGGACCCCGTCATAACCGCAGTAAATGCTTCCTTAATTTCACTACCCATCGGTCTTCCAGTTTCTTGAGCCAATGTAGGTCGTTCCATCGCTCCGGTATACCCACTACCAACACTCAAACTCATCATGGTACCAATTTCCACCTCTTCCTGTCCCATAATTTGATGATGTGGCACATCCTCAATCACGGGCCAACAACTCCACGTCCGTTTTCCCCATCCAAACCATCGATCTCCAGTGGTACATCCCCCAATATCTCTACTCTCAGGTGTGATATAACATTCTCCCCATCGCTCTCCATTTCTCTCAATATATGCATCTTCCGAGAAGTAGTTGTGGAACCGTAGATTGGTCAAATTGCCTCGTGTGAATTGAGGATGCGCGATGGAGAAGTTGGCGGCGTCTGATACGTCAATTGCTGTTCGACACCATTCCGGTGTTGCTGATTTTGATGATTCTGCTACCTCTTTGGAGATGTATGGAGCGGATGGTGTCCATGCCAAGAAATGCATGGAAGGCGGGTAGAATACATGGCCGATATATATCGGTTCAACATCAAGTATTGTTTTCGCAGACGCCGAAAGAAAAATAGGATACAAAGCTGCAAGCGCAAAAGGAACTTTCATCTTGACGTTGACTTCTTCAAAAAATTACAAACGACAGAAGAACAGATTAGAAGCTCAAAGGAATCAATCACTTGGATGAAACGTCGAGAAATTAAAGTGGTCAAAAGTGGATAACGGAAATTGAAGAATGTGGCCGTGGCCCGAAGCTTTGGTGTATATTTTTCCTCCAACGGATTGATATATTAAAAGCCTAATTTATGCTTGTTGATGGTCCGGATGTTGAGGCGAAATACCGATATAAGTTCGGATAAGTTGCCGGTAAATAGGGAATAAGAGGAGCCAGAAGGTCAGCTGAGTGTATGGGGCCCCGCACTCTCACTGTGTGGCGATGTGAAACTACGACCTTGCATTTTCAATGTTAGATCACAACTTTAGCTATGCATTACTCAAAGTCGCTGTCGTTGTTAGAGATAGTTGGGAATGGAGATGTTTGTGAAGTCACAAAAGATAGAAGTTCACTGAGGTCGGACTAAAATTAGCGATGACAAATCATGGTGCAGAATAGAGGCTGACTCACACCGATAATGGCGATGAGGTCGACGGCGATACAATTACTCTATTTGGCATCCTGTTAGCTTTTCCTTAAAACAATAGCATTTCTGCGTGATAATCCATAGATCCATTCCAACCAAGTCATAATCTCTGCCATTTCTTCAGTATAGAGAATCACGTTGAACCCGAGTTCGAGATTCTACCCCGCATCTCTGGCCCCCAAACTCAATTCCACCATGACTCTCATACTTCGTCCCGCGACTATTGCCGACGCAGAAGCCCTAACAAACATTTACTTCTCAGCGTTCAGCAGCGACGAAATCTCTCTTCTCTGTTTCCCTCGCTCTCCCGTATCATGGACCTGGTGGTACAATTCCATCCTGTCCGAAGTCCAAGATCCCTCATCCCATTTCCTCTGCATCCAAGATTCTTCCTCTCCGACTCCAGAGATCATTTCTTACGCAAAATGGAACGATAAATTTGCTCCCGTGGCCACAATCAACGATTTACCAGAATGGCCTCAAGGCTGTGATGTAAAGGTTGCGAATCACTTTTTCGGAACACTGATAGAAAGACGTAGGGGGATTATGGGAGAGAGGAAACATTGGTATTTGGAGATTATAGCTACGAAGCCAGAATCCCAGAGCAAAGGAGCAGCGGGAAAGCTTATGAGATGGGGGTTAGAGAGGGCGGATGAGGACGGAGTTGAGACGTATTTGGAGGCTAGTCCGGTGGGGAAGGAAGTGTATGAACATTTTGGGTTCGAGGAGAAGGCGAGATTGGTGGTTTCAGTGGATGGAAAGAGTGACTTCGTGGAGTGTATGATGGTTAGACCCAGAAAGGAGAAGGTGGATGGTGTATAAAAGTATGTGGTTATAATGCATTAAAAGGTGTACGCCGATAATAAATACCCGAGGAGTGTCCAAAAGTTGCAATGAGCTTAGCATCTGCTTTTTAATATTCCGAGTTCTAGTCTATTTAATTTGACTATACAAAACTCAAAAAGAAGAGCGCGACAAGGACGTTGTTTTGTTAATTTTCTGGGGGTCTCTCCAAGATTCATACAGACATCATTAGATAGATACTCATGGCACGTAGTGATGTGGTGATCTGATAATGTGGTAAGTAACGACAGTGGATAATTTTTACGATTACAGCTAGGAAAGCTATGTACAATTCCACCTTACCCTCCTTCCTTCTCCTTCTCCTTCTCCTTTAATCTCTCTCAGAACTCCATGCCCACTTCATGGAACCGCTTTTGCGTTCAATGCAGCGGCGTGGTTGGTCACCAACGTGGTATATTCACTTGTTCCATAATAAATCGTATATCCATCATCTGAAGTCTTTCCTGTTGAAAGGGTGTCGCCGTATTGCCAGTACATACTTCCGGCAGTTGCGGTGTCGAGGACAGTTCCTTGCCAAGGCAATTCATTGAGATGTGTAGTTGATCCATATTCTTCCAATACTAATGGTTTACCAGCAGCAGCAGTTACATTGGCATGACTCGAGATCCAAGAAGATCCCCAAGAATCATCTTCTCCCCATGAACTAGGGTAAAGATGAATGGTAGCGAAATCGATGGTGGGAATGGCAAGAAGATCTGTGAACCAGGTACCTGGGCCGGCGGTGAACGGATAGGAAGTATCGTTTGCAACAGTGAGACCAAATCCTTCGTCTCCGACTGTTATCATATGGTTGGGGTCGAGTGATTTGATGTATTGAGAGATGCTGGTAGCCCAATTTGTGATAACTGAAGTAGCACATCCAGTACATCTAGGCTCATTGGCAAGTTCCCAAGCAAAAACTGCGGTATTTGTCTTGTAGCGGGCTACTACTGCAGCAATATATGCTTTATATTGGGCTTGAGCTGCTGCGTTTGTGTACCAATCTGTCAAGGAGATACCGTAGTATGTAGCATATGCTTGCATTCCGCCGTAATCACTCCAGTTGTTAACGAAATTGATGATGAGACTGATTCCGTGAGCTTGAGCTGATTGTACGACGTAATCGAGACGTTGAAGACCATTGGCACCGGTGTTAATCACTGGTGACTGTCCTGCGATGAAAGATTGATACCAAACGCTACCAGAACCTTGTGCTGTTGTGACGTCATTGAAACCCCAGACGCGAAGTACTTTAAGTCCAGACTACGACGGATTAGTTGTTGCTACATGATAAGGCATCTTTAAACTTACAGAAGCAAGATGAGACATTACCAAGTCAACATCTGCATTGTTGGTCAAGAACCCGCACCAATAACAATTTGTTCCTGCAAAGTATGTTTTCTTCCCATTGATTTGGAATACAGTTCCTGCAGTTTTAGCATAACCAGTTATGGATGTAGCAGTGCTAGCTGGTGCAGCTGTAGTGCTTGTGCTTGAAGTAGTGCCTGGCTTAGTAGTTGATGTAGTCGATGTAGTGGCGGGTTTAGTGCTTGTAGTGAGAGTTGTGGATGCTGCATACCACATTAGCAGATACAACGATTTTCTCAAGGAGATAACTAGCCTGATCCTGGTACACATTGAGAGTAGAAGGCATTTGAATAAACACATGTATATCCCGTTACGCAGGTTGTCGGTCCGGTCCAATCCTGCCCACCGCCTATCAATTATCAGCATATGTAAAGCATTAACATTATAAATACTTACACTTTGCATATGCGGCAGCTTGGCCTCTGACAAGAGCAACCGCACAAGATGTGATGAGCGCAGCTGATACTTTCATTCTGAAGACCGTTGATCAAATCTTTGATCGAAATACAATGGAATGAATGATACAGACCAAGGTGAAGGAATAGAGCAGAGCAATGATTTATGTAAATAACTAGACGGGGCGAAAGACTGACCTCGACCCACCCTAGACAACAGTAGACATGCGAAGGGAACAATTAAATCCCGTCGGCCCGGGAGTGAAGATTATGGTGCATACTAGTTGCAAGAAAATGTTGTGACTGAAGGAAAATCATCGAATCTTCCGTATCAAGCAATGCTCGTGAAGAAAATCACTAGCACATTAAACCATAGTTACTATTTTCGAGTACACGGAAGAAGCTTTCTGTGACCACAAGAAGAGTACTGCATAAATTGATATTAATTTAATATAAGGTTTATTCTTTTGTGTCAAGCCACTGATTTGATTGATGGAGTTGAGCGGGTGGATCTCCACGACGTAGCGATTAGACGATCCGTCTAGTTCCACAGGCTTTGCGGTACGATATCCGCAAGGCACATGCACGATTTCCACAAAATCTGGGGTAATAAACACCAATCGGCGTTCAAGGAAATTCTTCACATCCGCACCAAATCTTTCAAATTCAATTGTCACCAGATCGTAGGCATTGAACCGGGAGAGTAAACCGAAATGGTACAACGGACATGTACCTTCCGTAATCTGTAATCAGTTAGTGTTCGGCTCCTATTCCAAAACAAAACGCGTATGCCATGTAGCGATACATATCAGCTGATGATACCTTCGAGTCTCGGGAATTGTACAGTGCATTATCTATGGGTTGGAATGATTACATTGAATGAACTCTCCCATGGCTCTTAGGAGCGCAGTGAAATTCTGAGATGCAAATGGATATCGCTGGCATGGTCTGAACACTACATCGCCATCAAAACCGGTTCAGCTCTTGTCTGTATTGTTGTGGAGGGGTAAGATACCTAGATACAATTATCCTGGTCGCAGCTATTCAACCTATCTTTTCGCGATTCGCCATGTGATATCTGTAGAGCATGCATTTTCTCCTATTCTTACCATCTCTGGACCGAGCAATCAAGAAACAGGGATTGTAGATGGAAATAGCCCAATACTGAGTCAAACAAGACAAGCGAAAACATAACTTTGCACTACAGCGCTTGCTGTCTATATGTGTGTATTCACGACAGCACGAGCGGAAGCTTCTGAAATTGGTTTGGGAACGACAACAATACTCTTAGAACAGCTCTGAGAAATAGAGATGTACCGCATGCCGCATCAGATACTGTGTAATGCCATCTCAAAGAGATTTTGATTGTTCAAAAGACGACTAACTCAATAGCCATTGTATCGCATATATCTATAAGTGGTCTTTTTGTGCATCTCGAAATCCGAAATGAATGAAAGCGAATGTCAATGTACCAACCCAATCGTACACGAAAGCCCAGCAACTCAGGCCCAGTGTAAGCACTGAGCATTCCCCTTGCCCAGATTTAAGCCGCACGCCCCGCTTCAGATATCGAGCTCTTCTAGAGCAATTACACCCCCTTATATAACATAGATCTAGGAGAGTGGATGCTCCAAAGCTCAGATTAAGATATAGCCGAAGTCTGATAGAAGTGAGGTAACTGATCAATACCTGGGAGCCGTGCCACTCGTTGCAGCTGCATTTTGATCGGTATTTGAGAAGAAGTATGATATGCTGATTCATAAAGGAAAGCAAATCTATTGAGTCTATGAGCATCTAATACCATCTATGAGTTTAAGCTGACTTATAAGATTGCGAGGACTTGGGGCAAATTTGATCCATAAAGTTGAGAAGAGTGGAAGCGTCGCCGTCTACTCGTTCTCCAAGAAAAGTAAATAGAGTATTGGAAAGTGGTCCATATAGCATTCTTCCTATCTAATTTTTCTCTCTGATAATTCATTCAGAAATGATACTTAACTGCATCGTGATTGTTTTGTTCCCTTTCCATGGTTATTGCAGTTGTCGGTGTTCTGGGAGTTCAAAGACCTGAGAAAGACAAAATTGATCTTATGGGCAAATGTAGGGTCGGGCGCCCTAAACGTTATTCCGATGGTCCGTGCCTCGACCACCAAAATAACTAAAAGACTATTACTCTATAAACTAAACACGCCTTGGAAAACAACCAAGAACTATTGCTGAAGAGTTTCATCTGTGGGTAGGTATCAGTAAGTGCTACTTGACAACCTTGAACATCTTCAACCATCAAAGCTTTCACATCTGCGACCTATCTATTGATGAATACTAGGAGTATCCATGATCATGTGTCATAGTGGTACACTGCAAAACACAGCAATCAATCTTCTCAATGCAGCTATGTTTGGCTTTGTAGTTGTCTCATACATGCCTTGCATCATTGATCTATCGAATAACGGATACATAATGACTCAAAGACTTTTTGGAGCTATTGTATTCGTATCGTAGTGAAAACAAGGAGAAGAACATGCATTTGAGGAACGCGGAGGCTAAGTATTGCACATGGCTCTTCAAGAATTAATCAAGTGTTGAAAATGAAGAAGAACTTCAATCATGGACAGGAAAAGCTTTCAGATCCAATCTCAGACTAATAAAGTCTGGTCCCAACGTTCAATGTCATCCACGTGCAATGTGCCTCCAAACTTTCAAATCTTTATCATTATCAGCCCCCATCTGCATCGACTTTTCGCCAGTTCATGACATGACTGCAGTGCAAGTCCTCGACCCAAGCCTTCGATCAGTGAAGTCTTCGCTAGAGCTCAGTCCTGCCAGCCTCCAGTCTTTTGTCCTTGAGCCTCTAGTTCTCGATCTCAATTGTCTTCTTCCTCGTCATCTTCGTTGGTGTCTAACGAGACTCTTGCAGTTTCTGTTCCTCGTCAGCCAAGTTCTAATCATTTGATCTTTTTTCTCGTACCAGTAGCTACTTCCTTTCCTGCAACTTTCTTGTTCAACACGGGCACATTTTCTTCCGCCTTGATCGCGTTCTTCAATGAAAGTTTCACGCCCCTCTTCCGACCCCTCGCGAGCGATTCATCGTGGCTCACAGCTTCTCCCATCTCCTCATTGTCTGGGCTTGACTGACCGCTTTGCTCAGCCATCGAGGATGACCATCTCCTGAATCTATGATGGGCTGCATTCTTGTTGGCAACACCCACATCTGCGATCAAGCGATCATGGTCAAGCTTATTCCAGATTCCCCTGAACTCATCTGCAATATCAAGTTGTTTGGATATAGCATTCCAAACAAGAGTGTTGTTGTCAATTCTTGGGTTGGGAGGCATGTTCGCGGTTGAAGTCAAGATGACGAACCCGAGCTTGGTGTTTCTTGTCGATACGGTATTGCCTTGCGGACAGTTTTCCAAGTGCTTGACTGCTGGTGATTGGGAGAGTAGTCGTTTGATGGTAACTTGTCTCTATTTGTAGTAAGCTTCATGACTACCTACAAGCAGAAACATCTCTTAATAAAGAAAAATTCTTAAGCCTTCTATGGTCATTCGAATAAACACCATCATGGAGATTCGCGCTTCAAACGACGTTTAGAAATAATTGCAGCCTAAATAGTGAAACGCAACACTCGATCATGAACCAGCGCTCTAGATAAAAGTACCTGCCACCGGCTGTAAGTTTCGGTCGTTTGAAATTATACCAGATGAACTTTTCCTCAGACATGCGTGAGATCAATGCTCTTGGTATTTCTTAAATCTAAAGCGTTCAAGGAGTATCTATCTATGACTTCAATTCTCTACGAGAAGGCTGATATCTAGTATTATCTCAACTCCCAGTGCTGTTGCAATCTCAAGAAGGCCTGTGCGCTAGTTCACCACACATAAATAGCCGAAGTTCTGATACTTCCATAAGCACCCAAACACCTTCAAAGAGAAACAAATATCGAAATATCTTCCGACTCTCCGAATCATCGAGAGTCTTAGATTGTCATCAATTGCAGTTTACCTGTTCACCACCTCCCTCTTCGAGTCAATCGCACACGCATTTACCCAACAAATACACCCTTCACAGTCATGGCGGAAAAACCTCAAAAATCCAAGTTCACTCAAGCCGAGGTCGACTTGTTGTGGGCCATCATCGAACGCGTTCCGAAGGATGAAATCAACCCGTGTGTTGCTGGAAACGTCGAAGCCGTTGCTACACATCTGGGAATCAAAAAGACAGCTGCTGAGAAGCGCTGGTCCCGTCTTGCAATTAGAGTGCGCAAGGGAAAAGAGGCCACTGATAAGGGAGTTGTTCTCGCAAGCATTGCAGAGGAGACCGAAGTCGAAACTAGTGGTGAGGATCAGGTTGTCACAAAGAATGATGGTGGAAAGCAAGTTCGTGGCAAGGATGTTAAGGCACTCGGTGTTACACCAAAGCGTAATCACAAGACTCCTATGAAGAACAAGGTCTCTCAGGACAAGGTCGTTAAGAAGAAGGCTACTGTTACAAAGGGCAAGCGTGGTAAGGAGGGTATCAAGGATGAGGTCAATGCTAAAACCTATATCAAGAAGGAAGAACCCGAGGAGGCTTTCGACGATGATGAGGCAGCTTTCTGACTAGAACTCGAGAATTCATACAGGATGGGGCGATCGCTTTGAAGGACCAAGCTGGGATGACAGCGATAGCAACCTTAGGGGAAAATTATAGATAGTTTTCATCTCCAACTTCCCGGGTTTTTTCTCATAGTCAATAAAAACAATGGTGTTTGGCGCAAAGAAAAAGCCTATGTAATTTCCGTTCCGAATGTGATAGAATTTTGTCATCAGCCTTGCCCGCATCCTTGTATGCGGGAGCCATTGAACATAAATCCGTTATCAATCTTCCTTTTGTTTCATTACTTAGACAATTTTGCGAGAACAATCGAGGGGCTTTTTAAAAAGTAAAGTTTGCATCAGGAATTCCAGACAAATGATCAGGTAAAACTAAAGAAAGTTCAAGTTCAACTCCAGCTGGTTCTAGCTGCAGGTAACCATAACGTATCAACTCGCACCTGCCGCTCGCAAATTATTCACATCCTCGTCTACACCCAAACTTCAACGGAACCAACTCTCCGCCGAAGTGACGCCCTCAACCTTGACATTTGGACTCAACCAACTCGAACCTGCAGCAATCATGTCGACCGACGCAGAAACCCAAAACAACAATCTCGTTCTTACGGCTCTCTTCAAACAAATCGATATTGGCGCACATGGCGCTATCGATTTCAAACGTCTAGCAGATGATATGGGTGTTAATGGTCAGAATGCAGCTCGGCATCGTTTCATCCGATTCAGAAGATGTTTTACTAGAACCGATGGTGTAGCTCCCACTCTTGCTGATGTCAACAACAATAATCTGGTTATGAGGGCCCTTTTTAAGCAACTCAAAATTGGCAGGATCGACTTTATACGCTTGGCGGAAGACATGGGCGTTAACGGTCAAAATGCTGCGAGACATAGGTGGATTCGGCTTTTGAGGAGTTTGGGTATTAGCAGGCCAAACAGAGCGGTAGGAGATGAGGGTAGAGATGACGGCGGAGATGACGAGAAGGAGCACAGGGATAACTCTGGAAACAAAGATAGGAAAGAGGAGAGAAAGGAGAGTGATGAAGCAGCAAATGGCCCTGTAAAGGTCGAAGCGAACACCAAAGTTACTAGAGCAAATCTGCCTGGCTCGCCACTAAAATTTGAGATTACAAGGGAGGGAAGCAGTCTAGAGTCACCCAAGAAAGGTGGCAAGAGAAATATTGAGGATGCTGATGGAGAATTAGCTGACGAGAAAGAGGGGGCTAGGTTGATGCAAATGCCGGCGAGAAAATTTCTGAAGAGTGCGACGAAGAGTATCAAAAAGAGGCAGAGGAGTATACAGAGGAGCGATGATACAGCGGAAGGTTATTATGGACATGGTCAAGATGAGGGGTTTGAGTCTGGCTTTGAGGACATCGACTACACAAGAGTTCCTGACAAGAAGAAGAAGAGAGGTAGAATTGTGGACGAATACAGTGGCGAGGAAGATTGGGAAGCTTAGTTAGACGTTAAATTTCCACCGATCTTACTTCTTTGCGAGTCTATTCCAGGTTTGGCGTTGTAGGCATCTTGCAGTATTTGAGAATGAGGAGTGTATTTTGGCATCGGCGTGAATTTTGTTTGCCGGAATTCGATCGGAACTTTTCTCCGCTGTGGACTTCAAAGCTTGATCTTAGAATAGAGGCATAACTCATATCAGAAGGCAGTTTTATGGACTTTCGGTGCACAGCTGTGAAACCAAGTAGTATGTCTACTCCCCCGGAATATTCTTACCTCGTCTATTTGATTAGGAAAAAGAATTCTTCGATTTCGGTCTAGCTTCATCTAAAAAACAGCAAAATACCACTATAAAAAGCTTGATGCCCACCAACATATATCTATCTCATTTTCTCAGACGAAGAGCTTCGGTAACTTAATCCATCTCGCTTGTTGTCTTTTGAAAGCATCATCAACCTTCTTAGTAATTTCTTGAACAAATTGAGCCTCTTACATTCCAATACACACTCGATCTTGTTTCTCAACATGGCATCCATGGAAGAGAAGCTCCTCATGGGAGTGTTGACTCAAATCGAAGTTGGCCGCATTGATTACGATGGTATACAGTTTTTCCCCTGAACTATTCCCAAATGATCGTTCATTCCAAATTCATGCCATCAAACGCTAACTTTACACTATCTACAGCGCTTGCGAACTATATCGGCGTCGCTACCTCCAAAGCCGCTCGCTGCAGATGGGATCGCTACAAACAAAAACTTACAAAGGGGCACCACCAACCACTCCGAGGAAGGCAGCTGGAGTCGGCAAGAAAATTGGATTAGTCTCACCGAAGAAGGCAGGCGGCAGTCCAAAGAAGAACAATCGCGGAAGTCCCAAGAAGTCACGCGGTCGAGTCAAGGAAGAAAGCGAAGAAGAGGAACATGAATTAGACGTAGACGTAGACGAGGACGAGTACGAGTACGACGAAATGGATTACGACAAGAATGCTCCAAATCTCGATGTCAAAATGGGAGAGCCAGTCACACCACCACGCAGGTTGCCGTCCCGACGAGCAAGGGTTACGAAGTTTGTGGAAGAGACTAGTGATGCAGAGGATGAGCAGGAAGAGGAAGATGGGGAGGTGCAGGTTAGCGCGGAAGTTGGGGGAATGAAAGATTTAGCTGTCAAAGATGAGAATGATGGAAAATATCAGAACGAGGACGAGGCGTAGGCTGTGTGAGAATGTGACAGATATTTTCAGGTCAACTAGGTAACAGCCTGGGACGCGGGAAGTAAATGGAATACTTGCAGGCTTCGAAAAGTAAACCTTCATGCTTCTTCTTCTAATGTCCAATCTTTGCATAATTAGTCCATTTCTAGAATTTACAGTACGTCTCAATCATTATATCAATATCTACTCCTCTTTGCGATAAGTGTCAGAAATCAATTAAACCAATTCTTTTCCACAGAACACAAACTCACTTCAATACTTCCCATTACCACCCACCATGAATGACAACGACAAACAAATTATGATTGGAGTCCTCCAGCAAATCGATAGAGTCAACTTCAAAGCCCTAGCCCAATCTCTCCACCCCGAGCTAGAGCCTGCAGAAATCACTAGAGCCATGGTGGAGAGTCTCCGAATACGCTGGAAGGGTCTAAAGCAACGACATGGAATCGAACCTCCTCCTAGCAGCCCTAACGTCTCGCCCAAGAAAGACGCAAACAGAGCCGAAAATAGAGCTGGCAATGGAACTGGAAGAGGCAGAAAGCGAAAGATCACCATTGAAGACAACGACGAGTCCGAACCCCCCAGCCCCATGAAAAAGAAAGACAAAGGACAGGTCAAGGCAGTTGTGAAGTTGGAGATCAGCGATAAAGGGGACAAAGCGTTTGAGGATGCTATATTTGCATATGGTCCCGACGATGAGGCGTGAGATAATGGCTTGCTGGGATTGAGATTGTGCAGGGCTGAAGCCTAAGCTGGAAGGAGACGTGCATATATTGGTGGTTGGTGGCTGACAGGGGATTGCCTGTGCTTTGCATAAGGGGCGGATATGCGAGGAAAAGAAATCATATTGCTAGATTCTTCTGGGGTATGGGAGGAATAATTCTTTTTTTACAAGTTCTTGGAGAATATGATAGAAAGTATTTAATCGTGTGAAATGCCCTTGCGATAGTATAATTCTCAAGTAATTTCGTCCCAATCTGGAGAACCACAAATCAACCACATTCCACCACGCAAAATTAATCATCATGCCACCCCAGCCAATAGAACACAAATTCAAGATTATTATGGCTGCAATGTCACAGTTTTCAAGTAACGAAAAAGATATTTTGCCAGTTCCTAACTACACCATTCTCGCAGAACAACTCGGATTGCCTAGTTATGCTTCTGCGCAAGGAGTATGGAAACGACTCACGGACGAACTCAAAGAGGGAGCGAAGGGAGATCTTAAGATTCGCGATCCGGAAGCAGACAAAAAAAAGAAGATTGCTGTCCAGCAACACAAAGAAGAGTCTCCAGTCAAGAAACGAGCAGCTGAGGAGTCGGACACAATGGCTAACGAGTCTGAATCCTCCCCGACCAAACGATCCAAAGTCAATACCGGCAAACGCGCCGCCAGAAAATGAACCACTAAGGCAGGAAGCGAATCGAAAGAAAATCCCGTCAGGTCGGAGAATGGTTGGGTGAACGATCAAAGCTGGTACCCGGATAATGAGGCTTGAGTCTGCGTATGGCAATAAGCAATGGAAGACTACAGAGAATGGGGGTGTCGGAGAATTGTATCGATGGTCGGATTTTCTTGGAAAAGTAGATGCATGACTAGACGAGTCTAGTTAGTATAAAATGCAAGCATCTGGACCTATACAGACCTACATGGACAACTAAAGAATTATTTGTGAGACTTTTTGATATGTGATATATTGTATATTAATTGTGTAGGATCCTAGATGTTCACTTATTATCTTCAATCTCATTCTCATCTCCACATCCGTCGATACCATACTTCTCCTCCAATTCCACGACAATAACATCCGACCACAAATCCTCAAATCAAATTAGCACAAATCACCTCAATATGTCTGCAAGTCCGAGTGTCGACGACCTCAAGATGCTCATTGCAGTACTGGTACAATGCGCCCCTGAAAACAAACCCCTTCCCACACCTGACCACTTGAGATTGGCAGAAGCCCTTGGCCTTCGCGACCGAATAGTCTCCAAGAATAAATGGTCTACACTCATGAGGAAATTCAGAGATGGAGATTTTGGAGATATGGGGGGTCTTATTGCTTCGAAGGAGCCTAATGAAGCCGCGACAAGGAAACGACCAGTAGTCGAGGTACCTGTTGAGGGGTATATGGACAAGCCCCCGCCTTCTCCTACCAAGAAAGTCAAGTAGGTTCTTAGCATCCGTTTTCATTTCAGAGTGAAGTATGCTAATCTCATCGTACTCAGAGGTGTCCAGAAAGTGGGAAAAGCAAAGGGCAATCAAAAGAAGGCCGTGAAGGATGAGATCTGAGATTATGCGGAGATAGAAGAAGACGGGGCATGCAGGGAAGAATGGGAATACAGTTACTTGGTATGCTGCGAAGAATCCTATGATAATAATGCATTTTGGATAGCATGCATGGAGTTAGTCAATCAATCATAGTTGAACACCTTTTGAAGATCGTTAGACAAACGTCTGGCTTGAGTGTGTAATTCACCAGTAATGATAATCATGAGAAACTGAGAATAACCATAGTAGCACATCAACAGTGAACACTCTAGCACGCACAGGCGCGGAGAGTCATTCGAGAGAGCCTCGATCTATCTGTATGGTACTAGCTCCTTCTAGTATAGTACTATCCGAGCCGCCCTCCTCGCAAGTCTCTAACCTTGTGATTTTCTTATCACCTTTCGGTTCAATATTTCCATGAAATCCCACACAAATCCATCCATGTTCGTACAATTGCCATCAATACTTCCCTTCAACGAACAATTTTGCACGTTCACGCAACTATCTTTTGAACCCAAGACAATTCAACGATACACAACTATTCTCCACTATCCAATTAAATCAACAAAGATGCCACCAAAGTCCGAAAATCCCTTGACCGACAACGAAAAGTTCTTCGCTGCAGTCTTTAGTCAACTACTCTCGGATGTCAGCAAACTTCCCAAGTTGAACAATGCCAAGCTCGCTGAAGATCTAGCTCTTCCAACCCCTGATGCTGCCCGCGTTCGTGTAAGTTCTCTCTCTAACATTCAATTTCACACTTTCAATATGAACAATTGCTAATGTCTGATTTACTAGTGGGCTCGCATTGTAGCAAAGATCAGAGATGGAAATTTCGGAGACTTAAAGATCGGTAGTGCTGGTAACGCCCAGAAGCGAAGCAAGGAAGAGACTGGTATCGAAGATAGAGTTGAGGGATTGAATGACGTCGTTTCTCCTACTAAGAAACAGAAGACTCGTGCCCCTCGCAAGAAGGCTGGTGACGCTGGTGGAAAGGCGGAGAAGGAGATCAAAGAGGAAAAATTCATGAACGAAGGAGAAGGCTCTGGATTTGAAGTCTTTGAAGACTCTGATTTGGTCTAAGCATGATGCAGAGTCTTAAAGGCTGGAGTCTACTAGAGTTTTGGGTTATCATTGAGACAGTTGGGAACTGCATGGATTTTTCAGGAAATAAACATAATCAGCTGACGAATTGATCAATGAAACACCTAAAATTAACCCTCTGATGACTTTCGCTTTGCTATTTGAATGACTGTGAGAATGAATCCATGCAAGATAGTCCCAAGCCTCTATCAACCCACCTCATACGATAATCTATCACATCCATCTACTTAAGATCCATTCCCACATCTACAACACAGCAACAAGTAGCGCTATGACACGCAGCGACAATATCAAGCTTCTTATCGCGGTATTCAAGCAATGGCAATCTGCTCGTATAGATACAATAAAGCTAGGTGAAGATCTCGGTATCAATCCTGGAGCTGCAGGTACGCGTTTGTTTCGACTCAAAGCGAGGCTCCGTACTGGAGATGCGCCAACACACGCTGATAAAGCACTTCTTATCGCCATCATCAGTCAGGAAAGACGTTTGCCTAGGCTCGACTACACGCTACTTGGTGCAGATCTCAAAATCAACCCTGGAGCTGCAGCCATGCGTTGGTGGAGGTATAAGATACGTTTGGAGGAGGATACTAGAGCAGCCGAACAGCAAGAGAGTGAGAGAAGGCATCCACGCAACGACCCAGCGGAAAACTTAATTGCTTCGGAAAAAAGGTCAAGTAGCAAAGAGTCAGGGGTCTTTGGATGGCCGTACAATGAAAAGGGCTGGCCGGACGTGGCTTGGGAGGCTTGAGATCTTTGCAGGTATTTAGAGCCACATAAGACTCTGTGTCGGAATGCGCGAGTAGGGGTCTTTCAGATAGGCAGTCGCATGTATGCATGAAGAATCAACTACAGCTCTGATTCACATTCGGTTATCTATTGAGACTGTGAAATCGCTTGTACTCTTGTGATAAAATGTCCACAACTTTATACACATTTACATCTCCAAACAACTTGCACTATTATCAAAACACAGGACCAACAAATAAACACCACCGTCACCTCACAAAATCTACGAAAGGTGTATAACCATGCCTTCGAAGGCCAAACCCTCTGAAAAGAGTGACGACGAAAAACTTCTCGTTGCCGTTGTCAGTCTTTGGGATTCTCTTCCACCTGTCGACAACCATAAACTAGGCGCACTTCTGGGAATCAAGCCCGGAACTGCTGCCGTGCGCTGGCATCGACTCAAAGCAAAACTATTTAAGGACAGCGAGAACAATAAAGCCGGGGATGATGTGGAAGTTGAACATGAAACGGTGGCACTTGGTAATCCAACTGGAGAGAAAAGATCTGCTGAGAATGCGGACATTGAACAGGCAGTCGCGGTATTCGATAACAGAAAGAGGGGCAAAACCGGAGGGCGGAAGCGTGCAGCCGCGACGAAGGGACCCAATGAGCCACCTGCCCAGCGCAAGAAATTTGATAAGTCGATCGGCATCTCTTTGAATGCGTCTACTTCGAAACTGGGACCTGGCAAAGGCAGGAAGACAAACGAAGACAAGGAACCATTGGAAGGGTTATGTGTATTTAAGCAGGAAAATTGTCAGTCCCAAATTGGTATGCAATGGCTGGAGACTGGGGATGATGGGAACATACTGGATGAGTTGTTGTCAGGAGAAGAGGCTTGAGATTCTGCAGCCACACGTATTTTTTTGGTTTCGTATGCATTTGCACAGGGAGAAACATAATAAGCAATGAAATTATCCTCTTATCTCAGCACCCTTGTAACAGAATCTAGCCATTGCCCTGTGTATCTATATAAATACATGTCTACCTTTATATTAGATCTCCCAAGCAACCACCGCAGTTGTGAAAATCCAACACAAATTGACAGTCGGTCAGTAACGCCTTGTTGGTAACTTCCTCTTTTCCTCACAAGACTAATGTATTTGATCAACAGTCCTGTGTCCAAACAAGAATCCAAGACCCGTCACAATGTCCACCGAATCTGCCGAAGACCAGAGACTTATCGCAGCCGTATTCAAACAAATCAAGTTTGCCGAGATAATTTTAGATTACGAGCAACTAGCAAAGGACCTTAAAATCAAAGCTATGCATCCAGGAAAAGCTGCAGGCAAGCGTTGGATACGATACAAGCAGAGACATGGCCTTGTTGCGGAAAGATCGGCCAAGAACGAGGTCATTGATGAAATGGAGAACTGCATGAATGTTACACCAAAGGCGGGAAACGGCAAAAAGACAGGGAAGGCGGCAAAAGGTACAAACGAAGGGAAGAAGGCTGCATCAAAGAAAAGAAAGATCGTCAAGGATGAGGATGATAATGAGGAGGAGGATGATGACTTCGATTAGGACGTTTTATGCTGAGGAAAATGATAGCTCAGATTATTAACCAATATTGAGGAGATTGATGGGGAGACCAGTGTCCAAGCGGGTGTTTATTGTTTCCAACTGATGACGATATCTGCCTTGAGAATTGAAGTAGGAAAATGGTTCAGCTCAAGAATTTACTTCTTTGATACTATATGAAGTTTTTAGAGTGATAAATACTTAAATACCAGTGATCCGTTCTTATCTGTTGTTAATCAGTCGCTTCGCACCATACATACATACATTGATACAAATTCTCACAACATCATTGTACCTTCAGATTCAGTCATGTCTAGCGACGCAGAAAAGAAATTGTTGGTTTCCATTCTCAGGCAAGCCAATATTGGCCACATCGATTGGGACAGAGTTGCGAAGGATCTCAGCGTTCCCACCAAGTCAGCTGCACAAATGCGATGGCAACGATTCAAAAAGACATTGCCCGACTTCAACCAAGAACAAAACGGCAATGTGAACTCCTCGCCACCAGCAACACCAAGAAAAAGACAATCTCCGACGAAAAGCAAAGCTCTTAAACGCAGCCCCTTGAAGAAGCAAAAGCGCTTGAAAGTTGACAGTGATGACGACGACGAAGAACTAGAATTCGATAACTACGATGAACAGGAGAACACGATTGCCCCCAAGACAGCAGCACGAAGTCTCCCAGGTAGAAAGGCAAAAGCCAAGTCTCCGATCAAGGATGTGAGTATGCTTCGTCTGGATATTTCTTATATGCTTACTGACATCCTCCTTTAGGCAGGTACAAGCGATGAGGAGGATGACATCAAAAATGAGGAATCAGGTGAAAATGAGGGAACTCAAGAAACCGAGTTAACTCACGAGACTGTTGCGAGTGGGGGCACTGCTGTCGATTCCGGATCGGACTTCGATGGAGATGTGGAAGCATGATCAGCTGTAGTCCGAGAAACATACTTTGGAAAAACGAAAGCGCGCTTCGTTCCGTTTGCAATTTCGATTGGGCTTGGATGATGCAGTGGGTTAAATGCGTTTGTTCATGACCCTAGCTTGTTGCCATGGGAGTCGAATTATCTATGGTTATGCGGATAAACCAGTGGCTACCCGTGAAATATGACTTGTCATTTCGAGGATTGATTTTTCCTCTTACATTATCTGTAAATCCATGATAGCTGAACAGCGTAGCTCTTCACACAATCTCCATGGACCATGGAGTTTATGTTCATGTAGGTAAGTGATATGAATGTTGGTGATTTTGCTTCAGCAAATCGCCGTTTCCTAAACAAATGAGTCGAAAGAATTTCTACCTACCATCAAGAAAAGGAAGATTGCGCTTAGTGATGTTGATTTGTCAGGCTACCGTAGGAGAGCAGGATCTTTTCCATTAGTTAACCTACTATCTGAGACAGAAACCCTGGTCAAATCCGGATAAATCCTTAAATAATCACATGATTTGATTCGTATCACAGATCATGTGATTCTTTGACTCAAAATGATTCTTCTACGTTTGGAATCTTTTTGTCCCGGTGCTTTCAGTCTACTACTCTTCTCTGAGAGGGCAGACAATGTGGACTTATCACCCCAGATTGCAATTGTGAGAACCAACACTCTTAATTGGCCGAGTTAACCCTGACCACGATGTCCTCTTTTTCCACGCTGGTTATGAAATTCGCGACATCAACATGCTTGCTGCTATTCTCCATGATGTCAAAGCATACGATCCGAGAGATCACGGCCTCAACCATTTAGCTATACATGGAGATACTTTGTTTCCAGATAGACAACCCTTTACAGGAGAAGTTGGATACTGCGGGTCGAATAGGACTATTGACAGTATGAGCGGTGGAGATGCAGGAAAGATAGCCTTAAGCCACCCCATATCCCAAGTATCCCTCACTGACATCCTCAGCACAAAAATTCGGACGTTGTGGTGTGTTCAAAAAATGTACACTCAAACGCGGGTTTACGGCCCAGGAATATTCGATCGGCCAATCGGATGGAGACTTTGCCCATGCCGCCTCCTTTGAGTAGATTGGGCATATCTTATCTTAACTTCGAGTGGTTCGAAAATGCCACCAGACCTATAGAGCCGGACATTGATAATATGCCATTTTTTAAGGATCCGCGCCGATACCACCATAGTTGGAAGGCAATCGAGGAAGCTCTAGATGTGAGACGTGTCATACCTTTTCGTGTCTTTGCTTGCGTGTTTTCTGAGTTAGCTCCAGCGGGAATAACGGGACACATGAGCTAGCCTACGGGGGAAGAGCTCGGGGTACACCAATTGGTCGAATGTATCGACGGATGGAAAAGGACGAGTAGGAGAGAGCCATCAATTACTGGGTCAACTTGATGCATGAAAATCGGCCATCCAGCAAGAGCAGATTCGATGAATTATGGTTTCGAGAGAGAAATGTTGTGGTAGACCGGGATGACATGACGGCGATTGGCATGTGGTTATTTTCAGGGGAGGCTTCTGGGCGAGTGGACGATCACAATTTCGCTGAAGTGTATCACTCGTATGAGATGCGTGCCAAATCTTCAGTCACCCCTGGGCTTGCATTGTTCGATCTCTTTTCTTCACCCCCATAGGTCTACAACAATTTAGGGATATCTGCTGGGTAAATGAATACTTGTTACTATGTGATCTATGTCCATGCAATATCAAACGCAAGATGAATCACCAGTCCCTAAATTTCTCTTGAATATTACATCCAAAAGATAGCAGATCTCTTTTCGGATATCCGCCAACTTTTGGGCGAGCTACCCACCTATATCTCTCTAAATCAAGTGGTAGACTCAAGAGCTATACATGGCTTAAATAAAGATAGTCTTAGGTCTTTTTCGCCTGAATCGTTGGATGATTTCTTTTTAGCATCAGTCATCATGAGAGTTCCCTTCATGCGACATGCGTGTAGTCTATTATTGTCTAAAGTACACAAGGTGAATTGGCAATCTAGTCTCTCTTTCTATTCTATTCGATGGAATATGTGGTCGTTAATTGGACTTCCTTGCAACACTTTGTTTGCAAATATTTGCTTACAAGAAAGGCGCGGCTTACGAACGGATTCACTGGACAATTTAAGAACTCCAAATACAGTGCTTTAATCGAAGGAGATACAGAATTTGATTCCATTTAATAGAGAATACATACAAAAACTGTAAAACGCCTTACCCATTTCGCCTACACGTCCTAATAATACCATTTAGAATGTTAAACTAACTAATAGGGCATAAAATGTACTTAGACCCTACAATTTCAACTACTTTAATAGATATGATCCGATACAACAATTTAGCCTGATTCTGAGCGACTCAACGAAAACAGATAAGGGCAAATCTCACATCCCACTGCCAGCAACGATTTATCCATCCACGACACCTCTATCTGCTGACACAATCACAAAGACTGCCGTTATCAATTTATGGCCTGTTTTGAGTCGTTACTGCAATTGCCGATGATTGTTCTTACTTGCCAAGACATTGACTGCTAGTAAGCGGCCAGTCCGAATATATCGGCCACCACTTCGCCAGTCGGACTAGACTCCATTTCTGCCAATCCGGGGCCGTTCAGCGATACATCGGAGAGGCGGCGCTGATATATGGCAAAGCCGGCTATCATGAGATAATGTGCTTGATTTCTGACCCAGACATTGAAGTTGTACAATGGAGTGTCACTAGAAACTAAAAGATTGTAAACGAAATCATAGTCTTTCTGAATATCAGTGGCCATCTCTTGCACCAGTACCGGATCGGGATTTCGATTGCGACTGGGATCTGGCTGCGATATATACATGACGATGTTCGTTGTTCCAGATGCCTGAACTTGCGCAAACCAAGCCTGCATAACCTCTGTTCTGCCGGTACTCATATGAGCCATAACCTTCGCAATACCTCCAGTCGTACTGAGAGTACCAACTACAATTATGGCTACACATGTATCAAGACCTCTAGTCCAGATTCTCTGGCCATCTTGAGCAGTTCTGACAGTTTTCATATCTAATTCCACGTCGTCTAATCTTTTGGACAATTGGAATCTCTCTTCTTGATCATGACTTCATATTTTGGCCTCGTTAGTATGGGTACAGGAAAGGGATGTTGATCTTAAATGGTATTAACTCAAGATGACTCTACCGAGGCAGAGCGTGGCTAGTATGGCGGCTAGAAAAAGATATTTGAACTTCATATTGGATGAATTATGACTTGAATGAATACAAGATCGTGTTTGACAGGGCAGCGGAGATTCAATTGATTATACAGATACATATCTTGAGTGATGAGTTGGTAAAAACTTGATTTCAAGGGACCTTTTGCTGTGTGGTAGTGATTGACGGAAAGAATTTGGGGTAAAGAGAGAACTTTATATGATATTTGATGGCTTAAGCTGCCATTGACTTAATTTTTGTTACCACTGCCTACTTCTCACTACAATTTTGTCTCTGGGGGAGTTGGAGATCTCTTCAGTTTTTTTATTGAATCAACGAAGTAAAGCAGCACTAATTCGACTTCCTTTGACTCCTTCCATCCAAGACCGAGCCGCATCTTGCCAACATGACTTACATGTTAGACCAGCTCTTACTCTTGTGTGTTGTTATGTGCCTTTAAAGTCAATAAACTTGACATGTTCAATGGCCGACAGCATCTTTGTATCTATCATCAGGAGTTTGTGAGATATTGAGGCACGGTAAAGGAAGAATTACATATGTTGGATGATATTTCACGAGCTCATGTAGAGTTTGAGAAACATTGACTGAAGAATTTTCAATTGGTTCCATCTTTCGTCAAAAGGTAAATGTTGAGTTTCATTTGCTTAGCCACCGAAAGTGATAATATCAGTGGCTATGCATTGGAGCGTAAGAAAGAAAAAAGCTTCGCGAAGACTTTCTGGAAATCAATGTAAAGCCAAAGTTGGTGTCAGCATCAAACTTGGTGATTCACTAAAAGGAGACCCAAATGTTTGTTTCTTGTTTTGAGAGATCAAGCGAGGCACTTTTTTTTTTCGCACAAAGTGTGAAGAGAAAATAAAACGGTGGTTGAGTCAAATAGCTGCACAACTATTCTCGAATCACAAGTATCTTCATCGTCGAGAAATACATGAGTATTCCTGGAATCAATGCTTTGCTGCTCTTTCACATGGTCATCATCATCAACTCCAGATTCGAACTCATACTATACTGTTCGTTCAGACAGAACATCCATAGCTTATTCACAGTCTAGTATGCAGAGTCATTAAGTTCCTATCATTGTACGAGAGCTAACATCTTCAGATTCCACGGAATATCACCAATCCGAGATTTCATCTGCTTCCACTCTAAGCACTTTTGAATATGGCAGTGATACAAGCTGCAGTACTATTCAATCAAAACGCAGTGCTAGTCAAAGATTGTGTATACAGGCCCACCGTGGGAGCAGAATCATTCGCAAGAATTGGCTTTGCATCTCTGTTTTTCTCTTTGTTGTTAGCACTTTGCCCGTTCTGTAAGTCTCACAACACCTATCCAGATGCCTGGTACTTCAAATTCAAGAACTAAGTATAAGTGTTGTAGAATTTGGTTATTCTTGGGTCTCACACTGGCGAGACGCACAACTCCCAGATTTCTTTCCAGAAAGAGCTAGCACTATAATTAATGATTGGACTGCACCTAAAGATTCGATGAATTTGCTATCGCCGTGGAATCCAAATTTTACCTAGGGAATTATCCCAATTCCCTGTCATTCACACAATCTCTATATGCATGTCGTCCCTCTGTTTGAAGCTCTTGCAACTGGCTGTACCGGTGTCGAAGCCGACATCCATTTTCCCACCCAAGCCGAAAGTCAAAATCTGCTAGTAGGGCATAAAACAAAGTCACTCACTCAAGACAGGACTCTCCAGAGGCTATATATCGGTCCTCTTGTCGAGATTCTTGAGAACATCAACGAGCGGTTTGCTATTTCGGATGACACGGCGAAGGACTGAAATGGCATTTTTCAATCCACTCCAAGTACTACATTGACTTTACTCCTAGACTTCAAGTCCAATGGTATTGACCTCTGGCCTTATGTGATTCAGCAACTCGAGGGTCTTCGCATGAAAGGTTGGCTCACGTACTGGGACAGTTCATCTGGTATAAACTGGGCACCAATCATCATCGTGGCGAGCGGTAATGCCCCTTTCGATGCTCTCAAAGCCAATACCACCTATCGCGATATTTTTTTATGATGCTCTCCTGACCGATATCTCAAATCTTATATACAATCTCACGAACTGCTACTATGCTAGTTCCTCGATCACCAAAGCCCTAGGAACTTAGTGGTCCTGGAAATTTAGTTCAGTACAGTTGCATAGAATCAATACTCAGATTAGTGCTGCAAATGAGAAAGGCTTGAAGGCAAGATATTGGAATACACCAGCTTGGCATGTAAATTTTTCGGATTACATGACAAGGGTTCTAGTTGAGCATGGAATAGGATTGTTGAGCGTGGATTCCTTCGGATCTGTATTATATTTTCCTTTGTTGACTAGATTTGCACAAAATCGCCTTGTATGGTGAAGAATGCAAACGTTCCCATGATATATACCTTATCAATTCATACTCATTCAATAATTAGAACAGCGACAGAGAAACTTATTATTCAAAGTTATTGTGCTAGTAGAAAAAAGTCTGGGTGATTACTTCCAACTTTCTTAGGTGGGCATATATAACAGATAGATCTCCATACAAATCGGCATATGATGATCGCTCTTCTTAACTACCACCTTCATTTAAACACAAACTCTTGTTTTTCTTCAGCCTTGTAGCTCCCACAATATCGAACTCCTGTCCCTCATATCCACAGAAGCCACTCTATCATAAAATTCTTGAATAATTTTGCGTGATGTATTTTTAAACCACTTACTCTCCTTTGCTAACATTTTGAATTTTGTCTAAATGAATGCTGGGACGTCTTCCATCAGGCTAAAATCGTTTCAACCGTGGGACCAGAAGAAACTGATTGTGATGGCAATAGTATCACATGAGTGATCGTCGGACGTAGGAATACGGAAGTCATACGATTTCTAAGCACAGTGTTGGTAGCAAGTTTATTGGCGAGAGGGGTTCCTTCACGTTTCTGTGCTCCAGATCCACTAATTTCAAAATGAGACACTATCGCGACGAAGACTTTGATTGCCAGATTTGAGATATATCTCCCAATAGAACATCATAAATGACATCTACTCCATGTAATGGTGGCTAGGCTTTCGAGGGATTTTGTAGCATGTTTCCCTTAGTTGCAAGTAGCGCCAACATTGTCTCTGTCTGTAACTTCGACTTGCTAATTTGATTGTGCTGCTTTATGATAGAAAAAGACACAGTCAGTAACTTGAGTAATTTGCTCATTTATGCTTGGAAATCAAAATTTGGAGGACTCCGTCTAAGAAGTAAACTGATGCTTGGAGTCCTCATACCGACGAAGCATATAAAGAGAGCGAAAGCGCGATAACTCAACGATATCCATTCATCATCATTTGCTGCTTCTATAAAACAATACCTAACGCTAATATCTCGACTAAATCTCTTGGTACCCTTGAAAACCCATCTCACACATAATAAAATGCATTAGTCCATTCTCTTTACAATGCTTTCCTCCATCGCCTTCAGCCAGGCTTCTGCTATCCCAACCATTAACGGAAGTTCTGCCGATATTGCAGCCCGCAACGCAAATCACGTAAGTTTATACACTACTAGTGCCTGCGCGTAAGTCCCTCTCGTTGACGTCAAGGAAGACAACTTCTCTTTTCCAGTCTCTCCTAATACGTTTATCTAGAAACGAGGACAAATACTACGAATGGCTCAGCACCGCAACATGCAGTTGCATTGCAGTCGATCTGAGAGCTCTTAGTCTTTATGCTGATACTGAGCCGCTCCACATACTATTGCGTTCAGCGATGGAAATTTCCAAAAGATACTTAGCGTCATTAACAAGGAAAGATGTGTCGGGACCGATACCTTGTTCGATGATGGAGACATCGGAAGCGTAATGTTCTGGTTACCAGCTGTTTGTGATGTTTTCGAGGCTGTGAAAGATATACTTGGTGATGTGACGACAGTTCTTACTGCTGCGGAATCTTTCGCTGAGGTCTAGGAGTTTAAGATATGGCTTAGGAATTGTCCCTGGAAGATTTGGTTGCGCCATCCATTTTTCTTTTTAGGGAAGCATGATTGACGTTGACTGTACTGTTTGGTGGCTTTTGAAGACATTGATTTACGCATGAAATTTGATTCATAACTTTACTTCACATCTTTTATTGCGAATCATGGGGTTTTCACCAAATGCTTCGCTGAGACGTTGTGTTGCTGTCATTGAATGGTCGCGGTGAAGAATAGGGGCCGATTAGCAAACTCGTTAGCCAATAGTAATCCCGGAATGTGTGCTCCTCAACAGGTACTTGTAAAATTTCGAGCGTGAAAATCTCGTTGCATATCGTGTGATGATACTTTGACCTTCTATTGGTACATCGCTACAGAGAGAGGGGAGAATGCCACTGACAGAACTAGCAAATTTTGAGCCACAACCTTGCAATGAGCATCGGCAAAATGCGGAAAATGGCGTAAGCCCTCGGTGAAGGGATCTAGAGAAAAGGACTGTTTCCTTCCCCAGGGATAATGCAAATCGCTTTCACAAGGAATCAGAGCGAGAGCGCAAACAAAAGTACCCGTATCACGTAGCATTGGCTGAGCTAAGCTAGAGATAAATCTCCTATCATATACCCTTCAAGTAATTGTGTTCCAAGTAAACTTTGCTAAAGCCGCACGACATGCAAAAAAGAGAGATTACTGTAGGAAGGGATACACTCAATCAGAATGTGAGCCAACCATATTTGCATTTAAAGTAACCTATTACATTTTGTCTACCTGAATTCTTTCCTCGCTAAAGGAGGATCTACACATGGCCTTCTGTGACAACTCAAAGCCGAACAACTCAAGGAAGAACGCAGTAAATTCCTTTTCATGGCACATCAGAGACTCCGATCAGGACCGTTTGATATTGTGAAAGCATAAGATAAGTGATGACTACAATTATCTGTAGGCAGAATGGTCAATAATTTAGACTTTTTCCAAGGGAGGGTCGAATTCCAATATCTCAGTGAAGTATTAAAATATTTTGTAGTATTGAACTTGATTTTATTTGTGGACTTTTTGCCACGGCTACTAGATACAGCAAGCAACTACATCTATAGTGACGGGTCTTGAAATGGCCGAATGAAATTTCGAGTTGAAGTTATGGTACATCACCCCAAATGACGTGCATCTTCACTCTTTTGTCTGTAGAAAACCTACATGACATCTACCTTTAGTTTCTTTTTTGCAAGTTAAATATAGAATTGAAAGATGTGTGGTCTCGGTTATAAGATCTAGCGAGTATGCTAGAATTGTGGTGTGAGATTTCCATAACGTTGGACGAAACAGCCTTCAGTATGGAGTCCCAATTGTATGTGCGAGTATCTTGGTAAGATTATATGTTTTCAGTCTACTTTATAGGTCTTCTTCTTTGAATGCAGAGTTCTTTGCCTAGAGAAATCAGAAATCCTGGCTTAGATACAATTTTAAATTTGATCTTATCCATTATTCACACACCCATGCAGCATACATTTGCACAAAAATCTAGCAATTTGACGACGTCGATGCTAGAATTCGCAAGTCCGATCTTGTTATCTGTATCTCATAAGTTACTTACAGCAAGGATTGCTCCAATCGAATTGACCGGGCATCCTATCTCTCTTGTAATCAATTCTCCGGTCGATTCACTCCGGACCTTCCCCTGAAGTCGCGAAGGAATAGCACCAACGACGTCACACAATCATAGAATCCTAAAAACTACATCATCACACATGGTCACTTCATATAAATTCAAGCAAGTTTGGAAAAGTCATTCAGGCATTAAAATTCCCACTTTAGATAATGGGTATATAATACGTGTGGAACATGTCAAAACCCGATCCCAATCTCCCATTCTCCCATTCTCCATGCACTTAAAAACTCCTTCGAAACATCAGAATCCGGTCCTAACCTCCCATGTCCCACTCCGAAGAATCCAAAGATCCTATTCCCAGCAACGAAAATATCGAAAAGCCAATTAGTTCCTACGAAGAACTTGTTAGCAGCAATTTCTAACCAGTTTCGTCCCCATGAACGGCTTTCCAGAAGATGAAAAGATAAAATATTCGAAGATAACGAAAGGTCGAATCATACAGTAAGCTGCGACTACATCAAGCTGCAATGGGGACGGACGACATTATTAACCGTTTCTGCAACAAATACTCATGTAAGAGATGTTTATCCACCAGTATCCCTTATACCAACGTCAGAACAGGAGGGGTTGAGGAAATAATAAAGGTGGTGTGAACTTACAATAGTGCCAATTCAAGATCACCATGGATCTTCGCTTTCAACGTAATCTCTACCTCGAGATTCAGATCCAACCGTAATCTAAGTGTGTCTTCCTTGTCGTCTCCCTTCTTTTCACCACCACCACCACCCAAGACACCGCCAGCGACGTTACCAAGTGTATTTCCAACTTGGCCGGCAGCCCCTCCGACGGTATCACCAACTTGGTTCAAAGGAACCATATCACTGACACCGCCGAGTGGTCCGCCTCCGCCTCCGCCTCCACCACCTTGTTGCTTTTGCTTTTGCTTTGCCGGTCGACGTGGGGGTGGTGCCTCTTCTTCTGATTCTTCGGAAGTATAATCATCGGAATCGGTTTCTGATTCGGATTCGGATTCAGGCTCTGGTTGTCTCTTTTTGGGGGGAGCCTTCTTTCCTTTTGTGGCAGTCTTGGTGGCAGCAGCCTTGGGCTTGGCTTGACTAGCCATTGTCGAAGTAGAGCTCTGCGAGAGAGACCTCCGTATAAAAGGGTGTTGAAAATTAAAAAAACGGGGTCTGAATTATCCTTAAGGGATATGAAGAAAATGGAAAAATGTGTGTTTGAATGAGGAGAATGAGGATATGATTGACTCGAACCTGTGTTCTTTAAAAGAAAGACTGAGTGGATTTCTCGAGAATCGAACCTGCTTGCGCCGATTCCACGTCATCATCCCATTTGATGCAGACCCCCTTGCCGGCCAAAGCCGTTTTCTTGTTTTTCGGGGCAATAGCTTGTAGCTAATTTCTCCAGGTCCTTCTTTGGCAAGTTTTCACCAACCATGCAGTGTCAAAGTTGGCAAATTGCGAAACAGCTGTTCTGTGGCTGGGAAGAATATATTGATCCTAGTGGGTCAGATACAAGCATTTACAGGCATCACCTCGCGCGATTTTTCCCCATGTTCAATTGAAAGAGGCAGAATTTCGTCATATTGCATGTAAATTGATTATTTTGAATTCTTGTACAGGATTAATCCTTCAAGAGCTCGAATCTGTCAAGTCTCATGCGTGTTTGTAACACGAGTATTTTGGTCTAGGCTGGACATTGCAGTGTGAATGGGAAGACTTCGGATGGGTATCATGAGATTTTCATTTTGTGTTATGTTATTTTCCAGTGGTGAAATTATTAACCACCCTCCTTTTTCCTGTCGGCTGGTACTAGCTGACTATTCCATCCACACATCATCCGCCGGAGCAAACAAACTTCCTGAATTTTCTTTCCCGTGGGAAGACCAGAGAAATCCCCATTTCTATCAAAATATATTTGCCATACTCCAGGCTCAACTTCTACTGCAACAAATCCTTCATCTTCCTCCAGTGTCAAATTTACTTCATCCTCTGACCATTCCCATGGGTGTGCTAAGTTGTCCACCGTATCTGCTCGCCCACCATATCGTACCTCTAAAGTATTTGAGTCGACATATATCCAATTCAGCATCGGAGGATTATCTTGAATCGTCGATACCAAGCCATGTTCTTCGGTGCCTGGATACATGAAATAGTAACCACAAAATCGATGTCCTTCTTTCGGCGCATCTGGGTGGTTTAAATACATCTGCAGATCGTTCAAAATCAGTAATTTTTCTTCAATACTCACCACGGTATTGATGTGAGCACATAGAAACTTGTGGTGACATACCCTGTTATCGCGTAGAACGACTTGTGCTTCTTTTTCATGAGCAGCCTTGCCATCCAGAGCAAAATTCGCCGTCATAAAAAACTTTGCCTTGTGCTTCTGAGCCAAATCCTCCTTCTTCTGAACATCTAATGCTTCAGCCGTACCGATCACTGTCGGTATAGCATTTACTAACATCAAAAATAATGCCATCTCGTGATTCTCATCTGACTTGTTGTCCTCAAGGTTGAACGTTATCGTAAAACTGTATTATCGTAGTATTGCGTGTATGGTATATTTTGTGGAAGTGGGAGTGGATACTGGAACAGTGTATAATTCATTGAATTCAGTGTTTGAAAGGTGCTGTGGGGACGGATCTTGTTGATTTAGTCGTTCACCAGCCACAACTTATCTTTTCATACCCCATGCCAGACGCTGGCTTAGCCCCTCACCATTTCAATTAAAAATGATATCATGCGGATGAAGTCATAAGAACTGAAAGCATTACTTGTGCCAGCTTCGTGAAGGTAGCTATTATGGCAGTTTGAAGAACAAGGTATTAATGGCGGGTGGCTTACTTTTTGTATAGGTTGTACTGCTACTGAGAGGTTATAAGTTTTCATACCTAAAAGACCCTGAAAAGTTTTAGGGAAGAACAGAACACATTGAGTTATTTACCATTGTTCTGTTCGAGTACCATTTAGCCTTGATTTTTGAGAAATATGCGCCTCTAGACTCGGAGATTCGAATTGGTGGACGGATGGACTCGACCTTTTTGGTACAAGTAGCAGCCCTGTAGCTTTATATGACCCACACGCACACGTTGGTTTGCCAAAACCCACATTTTTCACCAAAATCCTTGCGATAAATCATCTAATCCAGGATTTTTGGCCTCCATTATGTCCAAAAACACAACAGCCCCCTGTATCTTACACCTGTTACAAGGATAAAAATGAAGGCAGCGGTTATGTCATAGTTAAGTTGTTTGAAAGCTTGCTCCATAGAATTTGGCATGAATTTCCAAGTTTACATTTTTTTGGCTTTCATATAAGACAAAACTACAACGGTGCTAAGTGAGATTTCTCCCCGTATCTAATTTTGAAAGAATTTCTTGAGTCTATATTTTTGACTCTTAACTATATACCCTTTTCCTCCCGTACACGGGGTTTCCTCATCTTCTAAATCCTTCACTACATCACCTAAGTACATCCCATAAATCCACAAGCCAATATGCCGCCAAAGGAGAGCACACCCATTGGTGGTAAAAAGGGAGCCCCAACTCCCGATGCCACCCCTGACAGAGACAACGAAGAAAACGAGCAAGTAGAGCAAGAAGAGGAAGCTCAAGATGAGGAACAAAACGAGGATGGAGAAGAGGAACAAGATGAGGAAGAACAAGAAGGTACGGAGCAGAAGGCACAGGCATCAGTAGAAGACGACAATGAAGGGGAACAAGCTGGTAGTGATGGAGGGGCAGAAACTGGTGCCGAAGCCACTGCTGACGAGAATGAAGGCGGCGAAGAAGCTCAAGACGAAGAGCCTGAAAAGGAAGTAGAAGAGAGCGAGGATACTGCCGTTCACAACGAACCCGAACCCGAACCTGAACCGGAAAAGAAGAAGAAGAAGCATCGCCGTCGTAAGGTCAAGGAGCCTGAGCCAGAAGAAGAGGAGGAGGAAGAGGAAGCTCCTGCACGCAAGCCCCGTCGTAAGAGGAGAGATCGCCCTCAATTCCTCGAACAAGATAGCGGAAACGATTATAAACAACAAATGCAAATGATGCAACAACAACACGAACAACAAATGCAAATGATGCAAATGCAACAGCAACAACAACAAGGTGGTGGTGCAGCGAAAGAGCAAGGAAAGCAACCTTTGAAGTTGAGACTAGACGTCAACCTCGAAATTGAGATTGAGTTGAAAGCCAAGATTCATGGTGATTTGACATTGGCGTTATTGTACGTTCTATCACATCCCCCCTTACCAATTTCCCCATGTATTTCATATGTCATCTTCAACCCTACTCAGTGTAAATGTCGAGAACAAGTACCTCTCAACACAATTTACGAGCTCGGTCGAGCTGATTATTTTCAACAGGTCTTAAACGCAAATATTATCCATTCTAACATCTATCGTGTTGCTTAGTTCTGGATAGAGTGGAGAGCATGTTTGCTAGAGGCAATTGGGTTTACCGTGCGTTATATGGAGAGTTTTTCACATATTTCTTTGGTGTTACTGTATCTATTCATGATATGGGCTGCGGTGCTTTGGGTGTGGTGGGGTTCGGGATATTTGGATGATAATGAATGGCATTGTACTTTTAGATTTAATGATCAAAAATCTTGGATATGGAAATTTCATGAGATGCTTGTGTTACTCGATATATATTTTCGATATCAAAACAAAGAATTTCCACGGTCATTGTACTTCTGGATTGTTAAGTTTATTGTTGGCGTGCAGAGATTATGTTGCAGAAATACCGATAACACTATCCGACAGGAATTGAAAAATTGTTATCAGCTAGCGCTCTACAAGTCCCAATCCATCCGAACCTTCAGTGATCTTCTAGCCTGTATCGTAATCACAATAGCGTGTACTAGCCTAACGGCACACGTCGTTTCCACGAGTCCCTCTAAATTAGCCCTGCTGTCAGAACTACTTGAGTCATGTCTCAAAGAATCTTGGCAGCAAATTTGAAAGCAATCTCATTTTTTTTAGTATCAAACTCAGGGAATTGCTTTGCCGTCCATCTCTAGTCGGAAACTCTCGCGAACCGTCACTTTTTCCACGCAATTCAAAAACGGGGTGTGATTAGAAGCTTCTACGCACCATGGGCAATTTTACGCAATGAAGGAATCGCTAGTTTTTCTTTTTTTTCACCCCGCCCTCGGCCTTTGGTGCTCAGTATCTCGTGATTTTGTGGCTTGCAGATTGTGTTCCCTTCCAACATAAGCAACTTAGGTAAAATGAAGCAAATTAGTTGGCAGATATCCGGATTGGAAAATTGATACCGCTGGACCCTGTCGAATTTCCAACTTTTTCTACTGTCATTTTGGGAACCATGGCTAATTGCTTCTTCGTATTGCCAACTTATTCCCTCTGTTTGTAGGCTGTAGCACTGCACAATGCTCACAACGTGAATATGAGACCTTTAACGCTTTGTGTCCTGTTACTCACATGCAAGAGTCCTTTGTGCATACAAAATCTCTCCGAATGACTTGTATTACAAGAACTGTGTCACTTTCACTTTGAGCATGGTATCGGATTGTTGCATTCGAAAAACTTCAGAGCAAATATCTCCGATTTTATTGTCCGTTCATGTGAAACAATTAGACGATTGACATTGCACTAAGACTGGGACGACAAGTTGGCTTTTCTGGCTTCATCTTTTCACATGTAGCTATTCATGAATTGTGGCTGGTGAGTGCAAGTATTGCCGCAGACTATTATCCTTGCTAGTTCCACATGAAGAAAAGGGTGTGAGCCTACATCATGTAGGCTACATCATGTGTCGAATCTCGATGGAACATCAAAATTATCAAAGTGTCAAATATGCATTGAAATGTATTATCGCTTTGTTGTATTTGCTCCGAGACACTGAAACACTTTACGATTTCTACCTAGGTAGGTATCTTTGGTTGGTGCGCAATTTGTCTCGTCCATCGGATAGTTTTACACCAACAACAGATCGAAACGGGATCGATGATTCCTAGGGCATCACAGCAAGGCTTCGAACAATCCCCGTAGAATTGCTCCTATTTGATATTGTGGCGTGTAAGCTGAAGGATCAGGTCCAATTAGCTTCCTTAACCTACAAGGTTGCATGTATATATGATGCAAGTTGCTATAGCCATCCACTCTGGGGCCAAACTTCCTTGTTCTACTCTGGGGAAGCCTGTAAGCTCTTGAAAGTTGACGCAATGATGTATTCCAATCAGAACTTGGGTCATAGTTGGTCCCAGCCTTGGTTTTCGGGATACCTTGGAGACAGTGAGATCATTCTTTGCGCATCTAATTACTAAGATGAACACAGCATTTGACTTTAGTGTCATTAACTGTTACACTACTGAAGCCTCTATATACCTGTGAAAGGTATCCGTCAAACTGTCTCCTCACTTTATTGTTCGTTACCAGTGGACGCTTTTAGTCAAGCAACGCACATCTCGCTACGATCCAGATTCCATCCAATTCACATCATCTACGACCGCAAAAATCGAAGAAATGGCAGACACACAAGAAGCTCCTAAGAAAGTCTTGAAGAAGACAAACAAAACTCCAATCAAGAAGAAGCCTTCAACTCCTAAAGCAGATACCTCTTCAGTACCTAGTGAAAAGCCATCAGTTCCAAACACACCAACTGTCCCAAAAGATACCAGCGATGTAACGAAATCCGCAAAGCAGGGCTCTACCACCAAAGTAAGTTTCCTGCTCTGGCTTATATGCCTTCTTTCGCCGACCGTTATACTCCTCTTTGTTTCCGGACAAAATTCCTGGCCTTTACCTCTGGTTCCACCCAAAGAAGGACCTTATCAAAGGGATGAGAAAGAAAGCAAGAGGAAAAAAGAAAGACTGAAAGAATATTCCATTCAAGTCAGAAGGCTAACATTGAAACAACGTAGGCCAAAAAATTCGCACCCAAATTACCAGCAACACCACCAGCTGACAAAAACATACCACACCCTGAAGTGACATCTCCTTCGCCAGCGCCAAAATCCCAAAGCAAGCCAAAGATCAAAAAGTTCAAGAAGCCAGTCGAGAAACCTGAGCCAGTTCCTGAACCGGAGGAGCAAGAGAAAGATGGCGAACAAGATGATAACGACGAATCTGAAAAGGAGGAACCTCAGCCTGAGAAGCCAAAATCTAAGCCCAAGAAATTTTCAAAGCCTAAGAAATCTGAGCCAGAACCTCAACCTGAACAAGACGAACCAGATCATGATGAGGAAGCAGACAACGAGCCTGAACAGGAAGAAGAGCCCGTTGAGCCTGAGCCAAAGAAGGAGGCCCCTCGACCAAAGAAGTTTTCGAAGACCAAGAAACCTGAACCAAAGCCAGAGCCTGAAGAGCAAGATCAGGAATCTGAAGCTGAGCCTGAAGGTGAACAGGAAGAGCCAGAGAAAGTAGAACAAAAGGAAGAAGCACCTCGACCAAAGAAATTTTCAAAGACCAAAAAGTCCCAACCCAAGCCAGAACCCCAAGATCAAAACGAAGAATCCGAGGGTGAGGCTGAACAAGAAGAACCAGTCAAGGCAGATAAGAAGGAGGAACACGATGAAGGCATCGAAATGGCAGATGGTGAGGAAGATGGGGAGGACAATGAAGATGAAGTTGAAAATGAGGGTGAGGTAGATGACGATTCCGATGTCCAAGATGACGAGGAACAAGATGTCAGTGAGGACGAAGAGGATGAAGAGGAGGGAGATGATCAAGATGAGGAAAATGATGAAGAAGAAGAGGAGGAAAATGAATTGGCTGAAGCTATTCCCGATGTCCAACCGGATGTTATTACCTCAGCACCTCCTATCCCAGACGACTTCAAGGAAAGCATCGAGCCTCTCAAGTCAGTAACTAAGTCTGAGCCTACTAAGCAAGTTACAAAGTCTGTCGAAGACGCAAAAGACTCGGTCCCTGAGCCTGCAAAGGAAGCTGCTAAACGACCAAAGAAATTCCTAAGCAAGGCTTCCAAGGCCGCCCAAAAAGCTCAAGGCCAAGTCAATGGTGTTGCAGATGACAACTCTAAGAAGGCTCAAGACACTATCGATAGTAAACCTGGCGCTGATCAAGCCAAGGATACTGCGTCCGGCGCAGTCGACAAAGCCAAAAATGTTGGAGATGAAGCATCCAAAGCATCCAAGGGAGGAGTTGATAAGATTAAAGAGACTACTGAACAAGTCCCAGACGCTGATCAAGCCACCAATACTGTTGATGGTGCAACTTCCAAGGCTCAAGATGCTGGATCAAAGGCAAAGGATAATGTTGAAAAGGCTACCGGCGATGTCAAAAATCCTACCCAAGAAAAAACGGATGAAGCATCCAAGCTCGGTAAAGATGCTGATGACAAGGCCAATGGAGTTGCAGGTGATTTGAAGGACAAGTCTTCAAGTGCCACCGACGGTGCCCAGGATAAACTCGACGATACCAAGTCACAAGTCAACGGAGTTGCTGGTGATGCCAAAGACAAAGTTGGAAGTGCCAAAGATGATACGCAAGAGAAACTTGGCGGTGTCAAAGACACTGCTGAAGAGAAGCTCGATGGCGTTAAGGGCTCAACTGATGATGTCAAAGGTGGTTTACCATCTACAGACGATGCCCAGAAAACTTTAGATGATAGTAGCGAGAAAGCTAAGGGTGCATTGGGAGGGATCCCTGGCACTGACAAGGCTACCGATGCTGTGAATGGAGTCAAGGACCAAGCTGAGGGCGCGACAGAAAGTGCCAAGGACGTTCAAGTTAACATTCCAAATATTAATGACATTGTCGGTAAGAGTATCTCTGTTATCAAAGACGGATACCTTTTTGACGACCAAGGAAATGTTATTGGTCAAGCTACTTCCAACTTTTCAGGCAAGGCAATTGGTTCTTTCAAATCTAAGGAATTGGAGGCCAGAGCAACACAGCAAGTACAATCTATTGGCAACATTGAGAAACCAAAACTCGATGGACCAAAATCTGGAGATCTTGGATCTTTGGCCGGAGCATCGGGACAAAACGCTGATGCTGGTGCTGGAAGTAGTCCAAGTGAAATTTTCTTGGATGTCAAGAGTACAAATGAGGGGATTAGTTTGCAAATCAGAATTCCTACTGCGTTTATGATGAGACCTAGTAATTAGGGTCGGCGCTATGGTTATGGTAGGGTAACTTTTTTTTGGATTGGACGGAAATGTCATGCCAGGTGGTAAAGAGTATGGATGGATGGGTAATTGGATGGTTTGGTATGGTTTAGTCTTTTGAGATTTATGTTTCATTGATGGTTTTCAGCACACGAAATTTACGATTCAAAAGCCAGCGTGTTATTTCAGCGTTTAATATTTATGTATATGTAGCTCTACTGTTCACTCAATAAAAATTGGTAATATTCACGACTTGGTCTAATCTTCTGAATTCACTTGTAATTTGTGATCTTGCTGGAAACTTGGGCTCGATCCAAT